CTTCTTTTGTGTTTGTCATAATCTGTTAAAGGTCTGTCTTACTGTCAGAATAAAGCCTGTCATTTTACCTTGGTTATAACAAAGTTTAGTAAACTGAGAATTTCCTCCATATGTTTTTTGCTAGTGGTGAAGTTTCTCAGAACTTTCTAAGCAGTATCTGAAAGTTCAAAGTCTGATATTACAGAAGTGGCAAACCCCGTATCTGATTGCTCCTTAAATACGAATACTTTTCATTTGTGGTCCTTTAAAATAAACATAGGCAATTTTAACCTTCCTGATGGATTCTAAAACTTTGAGTTCTGATGTGACTGTTGTCTTTTTTATGTATGTATTTCTTTTGGAGTTCCTATGGCAGAGCTTATTTGTAATACTTGAATCTCTCACTGGAGTCTGCTGTCCTTTATGAAAGTCAGTTTTGCCCAGGTTGCCAGTTGTTACCCAAGTGTCATTGTGTCATAGCATCTCCCATGTGCTTCCATCTCTGTAGGGGCAGCAACCTCCAGTGTCAAGTCAGTCTCTAGGCAGCAAGTAGCCTTGTGCATTTTGCATGCTGCAGACTAACTGGTACCCTAATGTCTTACCCCAAGTTTCTCCAAAATGCCTATATTTACTTTTCATTAATCTAAGGCTAAATTCAGAAACTTTATATTATGTTTCTCAAAGCACAAATATTTGACAGTAACATACCCGTTGTTGAGAACTGGTAATTTTGAGAGACTTTCCAAGACCTTAGTAAATCATGTGGATTTAAGAGGATTTGCTGACATCTGAGATGCGTGCTGATTATAATTAGATTACATCTTCATTTTTCATACACTTTTCATTACTTTTTCTTCTATAACCATTTTTTATGCAAGTGGCACGTCTGTCAGTAAGCTATCAAATAGCTGATTTTTCAGAAGAGATGGAAGTGTAATGCTTATATGCATGCTTGTTTTTCTGAATTACTATTTTTCAATCCTAGTGATTTTTCAGTTTCAATTTCTATTTCAATATATTCCTACACTTTGTTGCACTTTGGTTCTCATTTTTTTCAACATGTAGTGGATACAAAAAGAAGAAAAGGCTGAATAAAAGAATGCTTAACAGCTATGAAATATAAACTTTGATGCTACATATAAATACAAATTTACAAATGCACGCGTACATATTGCAATTCTGATTGCAACTGAAACAGTTGTAACAGTATTTTTTTGATCTATCAGGCTGCTTAAAGTTATTTTATACCAATTCTGGGGTTACATTTGGATAATTATAGGCCATTATCCAAAGGTCTTTAAGCAGTTTGCGAACATTACACAGTCTGTAGCCTTTACGAGGCAAAGACATCTGTCTTTGTGAGGTACCTGTAACTGTCTGTTACCATTTATAAAATGGTACTTGCACATTGCATGGTAAACCAGTAAAAAAGCAGTGAGTGAAATCAAGAGTACTAATTTGCAATAAACAGTTCCAGTCATTCAATGTTACTGCCTCCTAAGGTTACAATGACTGTTAACCTGAAAATTTTGGAATGTCAGTGGTCTCCTACTGGAATCATCATTTCAGATTAGGATTCATGTAGGGCTTTTAAAGATTTTACAATACTGAGAATGAGCTCATGACACTAATTGGAATCAATGTTCCATTTCTGTAGTGGCCCCAAGGTGCTTGCTGTATCTCCCCAGCTGGTAGCTGACTGGGACTTCCCTTGGAGTCCATCAGTAATGGGATTGAATCCTTCCAGCTGGCTACTGGTCAATATCATAAACCACAGAAATGTGCTAGGGCTAATGCCTATGCCTTCTAGTAGGACAAGAGATGAGTAAAACAGGACAAGAATGTACATACATGTCAAATGAAGGCCATGGTGTACAAGACCACACAGATAAAAGTAGATTTTACAGACACGTTTTCATCCTTAGAAAAAAAACCTTGGGGTAGGAAACTGAATACAAATTTTGCCAGTAAATATCACTCTGTGTTCTTTTTTTTGAGCCACCCATGCCTGCCAATCCTCTTTTCTAAAATACATCTCCAGGAAAAACTGACTTTTCAAGACTTGCTGTGGTTTGGAAATGCTGCTTTGTTTTCCTGAATGAAGTAGCATTCATACTCTGGTGTCTTCTAGCAGTGTGCAGAGTTGTGGGTTTTTGCAGTGTTGTATGAGCTGTTAAAGCTGAGAGGTCCAGTGGCCATGGGGATGGACATTCCCTCCTGAGAGCAAATGTTACTTGTATATATGGGAATGAAGCAGTTTCTTTTGTCTCTGGTACTGTCTTCCTAGTGTAATAGACTGACAGTGGAAAGGGTGCAAAACTGTCTTGGAGGCAGACCTGATTCAAAGTTATAATGGAAGTGGAAGGGTGTGCACATAATTGTATCCCATTATTTTTGGTGTTGTCTGTCAGCCAGCATTCTTCAGATCCTCCTGCTGAGAACAATTCCAGAATATGATCATATGTTGTTGTTTAAAAACTGAAATAATTTTCTTGGGTTAGGACTTCTCTTATTTTTGTCCTTACAGTGGCTTTTTTCATTGACACCTATTTTAACTCCCATTTTTCATTCTCAAAACACAGAAACAAGGATCTTATTTTCTTATACTCTTTTCTGAATTTCTCTATTTGCTCCCCATGTCTTAGTAGTTTTATTCAAACTTTCTATTCGTATCCTGGTGACAGTCAACAATCTTGCTGTTCATGGAATTTGAAGCAGAAGGTGCAGTAAGACCATCTGGGTTGACCTGTGTCGTAAGTCACTACATTGCCTTTCTTTTCAGTCCAGTGACTTCAAACTTGACTGCATCCTTTGTAATACCCAGTCTTGTTGAAAGACAAGATGTACAGAACTAACTGCTGTCCTTTTAAACTTTTGCCAGAGGTTAACCACTGTTATTATTAAAAATGTCTACCTTATTTATACTTTGAATTTGCCTGGCTTTAGATTCTGGTCATTGTTTTTTGTTATGTCTTTCTCCAATTTGCTAAAGATACAAGTCATTTTTCTTCTTGTAGGTGCTTGTACATATTAAGCAAATCTACTTTTTGTTCCTTCTTTTAGTAAACCAAATAGATTGATCTCCATGTTCTACCAAAAGGCATTTTCTCCTGACCTCAGTTAACTCATGTGATTCTTTCAGCACCATTTTCAATGTTTTAACATAGTTTGAAATATAAAAGCACCAGAATAAAACAGTATAATGTCTACTCTGGACCTTTAATCCTTTTCAGAAGCTGCTTTCAGGGAAAAAGTTGCCTTGGCCCTAGTGTTTAACTGTGTCTCAAATGTGTCAGTGTGTTTTTTGTTCAAATGCACCTAGTTTACTAAGCAGTCCATATGGAGTTTAGTGAGCTCTCTATGGCTTTATTGTGCTCACTGTTTTTCATGTCTCTAAGCTTTGTGTCACTTGCAAATTGCACTGAAAATTTATATGTATTTCAGACATGAAAATTCCAGTGCCTTCAGGCCCAGTATCAGGTCCTCTAGACTCCACTTGCCACAGAATCAGAGAATGGCTAAGCTTAGAAAGGACTTCTGGAGATCAGCTGTCCAATCCCCCCTCTCAAGCAGGAACATCTTGAGCAGGTTGCACAGGACCATCTCCAGATGGCTTTCAATGTCTTCAAGGGCAATATCAATATCTCCAGATGGCTCTCAATATCTTCAAGAGCAGAGATTTCACTACATCATTGGGAACCTGTGTTAGTGCTCAGTCGTACACACACTGAAAAACTCTCCCCTGATGTTTGGAGGGAATGTCCAATGTTTCAGTTTGTGCCATTGCCTCTAGTCCTTCCACTGACCACCAATGAAAGGAGCTTAGTTCTCTATTCTTAACACCTTCCCTTCAGGTATTTGCACATATTGGCGAGACCTTCCTTGAGCCTTCTCTAGCATAAATAGCCACAGCACTCTCGGCCTTTCTTTCTTGGGGAGATGCTCCAGTGCCATCATTGCTTTCATGGTTCTTTGATGAACTCTCTCCAGTTTGCCAGTGTCTCTCTTGCTTCTAATTAAAATACATTTTCATTAATAGTTGCTTCTAGGATGCATCATGCTGTAATAATGACTACTGTTAACCTTTGTGCTAGAAACTCTGCATGGTTATATGCATTTAGAATGAATGTTTAACATTCAGCCCTTGCTTCCATTTCCTTTAGGTTGGTGCTCTATATTTACACCTATAGTTATTCTTTTGTATGAATAGAATAGGGTTTTGAAAATTTTTGAGTATATGCAGATGCTGTTAACGTGACACTTAAGGTGCTACATGTTAAACACATAGGAAAAATTGAAATTAATGCCAAGATATAGTAAATTTGATGCAGTTTTATATCTGTGGGGGGTTCTATTGCTATTTAAATCCTTATTTGACTTGTAAATGTTAATGTTTGTGTACTCCAGTGCTCTATTCTACTTGGAAGAATGGTGTAGGGCACAAGTTAGAATACATTTGTATTTATCTAGTTTTAAATTATCACTGTGACTTAGGACTTTGAAGATGAAAGAAATTGATGAGACACAGAATCTACTCCTTAGCAATTGTGCTAAACATTTAATTGATATAATAAAATTTCTTTTGCTCAGCCCTTGATAGAACTAACATTCTTAGTAAAATTCTTTATGACCCTAGACTTGCAGTTAGTAATTGTATACTGCTGCTTCAAATTATTCGGTTGCAGTTGAATGAAGTATCTTTTCACGCTGTGTGTCCCAAACCAATATGTATTATGCCTGCACATACTCTGTAAGTGTTGCAAGTTGCTGCTTTGGGCAAGCTATCCTCTGTGTAGCTGCCCATGAAGCTCATTGTTGAGAGATACAAAGAGAAATGTGGCTGAACTTCTGTCTCTTGCCTTCATATGCTCTTGTGTTTGCCAAACCAAAACTGCTGTAAATTCACCATTAAGAAGCGTTTGTTTAGATGAGAAGAAGAGTAAAAAGCAGCTAAGATGGATATGCAGATTCAGAAGTAAAGTATAACATTGAATTCTATTTATTTTAATTTTTCTCTCTAGATTCCCTCTGGCCAAAGATTCGTGTTCCCCTGAAAGTTGTTAGGACTGCAGAAAACAAACTTAGCAATCGCTTTTTCCCTTATGATGAGATTGAAACAGAAGCAGTGCTGGCTATTGATGATGATATCATTATGCTAACCTCAGATGAACTCCAGTTTGGCTATGAGGTAAGATAATTGGTTTTTCCCTGTCTCCTAGGCCATCCACTTCAACATTGTATATAAAGTGGAGGAAGCACTGCATAGTCTGTTGATTCAGATTGTTGCATCTCTCTTTACCATAATAGTTCAGTGCTGACTGAAACAGTTTTACAGATAGTCATTTCTTTATTGAAAAACCTGCCAGCTAAGAGGTTTTCAGTAATTGGCACAGGAGTGCCAAGAGACTCCAGAAAATGTTATAGTGGAAGCAGTCTGAAGACTGAGCTGCATTCTTCTTAACTTCAGATAAATCAGAAATTCTAGCCAAGTGAACGTGTCTTGATGGGCAAGACAAGTTTCAGAGATTAAGTGTTGGGAACGGAGGGAGCCTCCTGGGGACATGCTGAAGTAAGGTGGACTGCAGTGAAAGAAAGAACTGAAGAATTTCAAGGAGGGGACACATGGATCATGTGCTTGAAATGGCAAAACTTCAACAGCAGCTCTTGTGATGAGGGTATGGACAAAAAGAGAGCTAGTCCAAATCAGTTACCCATGGCGGTACAAAGAGGTGACAGTCTTCATAGATACTTGAATTGTTTGTTAAAAGTACACTTGAAGCAGCACTGTTGTCTTCCTTCCAAAACTATGTTTTGAGTGAGGTAATTTTTTGTCTCCCATTTGTAGTCCATAATCATTACTGTTATATGTGTGTATTTAAGACAAAGACGCTGTATATATAAGCAAATCAGAAACATTAGAAAATGTAATACCGAATTTTAAGAAAGCTTTGAATTATTTAGTCACACCTGTACATGCATTATCAACAGCAAAACAACACTGGACTATAACATGAAACTGTTACCTGAGTTGAATGCAATTATGAAAAGTGCTCCTCTAAGGTGGAGAAAGCTAGTGAATTGAAGTTAATACAAGGTGATATTTTTAAAAAATATGTTGGACATATTTCTTTAACATATGTACATGTGGGGTGAAATATTTCTCTTTCTCCCTCTTGAGTAAAAGAGACTGTTAGCAAGTAACAAGCTTTTGGACTCCAGAAATGTCTTATGATGATGTAGGTATGCTGAAGTAATAACAAAGATGTTAAGTAGTGGAGACAGAGGTTTCATCTATCATGTGTGTCTACAGAAAGGAAATACTTTCCTTGCCAGGTTAAGAGTAGCGAGTTAATACATGAAGTGTGAAAGATGGAAGGAAGAGAAGACAACTGAAGGAAGGGGATTTTGGCTACACAGACCTTCTCTATACTTTGTTGTCTACATGAATGTTTTAAGCACTGTACTGCAACAGCAGAGCAATGAAGTGCTGGCAGTTCTGCAGGCTGACTTACTTTTGCCTGTGTTGGTGCTTATAACTACTAGTTTTGAGATTGATCTGATGGGATGAAAGATAGCAGACCCATAATGTGCATGCTGCATAAATCCTGGCTCCATTTGCAGTTTAACTCCAGTTTTCATAAAGCTGTCTCAAATAAAGTGGCTAAGAGTAAGGAGTGACTTACCAAAGTCACCTACCTGACTGTGTAAGTAGCTCTGCTGTTGTCAGAGCAGGCTTGGAGGGCTTTGAAGCAAAAATTCGACCTGCAGCCGAGTTCCAGCTGTATCACCCAGAAGTCATGTGAAGCAGAACCTTGGTTTTTGTGTCTGAACTGTTACTTTTAACATCCTCAGTGGACGATACCTTTAATATCACATGTATTGAGTCTAGTCACTCACACAGAAAGGAGTTATCCTCATGAAAAACAAAAATAAAGCAAAGAAAATTTGATGTGAATCCCCCTGTAGTCAGTGCAACTAGAGGATAATTAGGACTTGCAGCTGTTCATCTCCTAGGATTAAGGCCAACAGGTCTAGCAGTTTGATTGTGCTGGCTCATTTATTGGCTTTATGGCCATGTGCCTTGGTTGCAGGGACTATCTGAGTAACAGTCCTTATATTCTGCGTGTGAATGTAACTATTTGGACATGAGATTGTTTAGTTTGGCAGACTGGAAACTATTTATGTTGCAGTTTTTTGCATTTTATTATAAATCCTACTCCTTTTTCATTCTGGGAAGTCATCTTACTGCACAGTAACATTGATGGATAATTAAAGTGCTGTATTGAGAAGGTAGTTGAGACAAACCTGTGAGTAATTTGAATCCTTATATTTTGAGTTTGGCTTCACCACCCCCACTCCCTCAGTAAATTAAATGAATAGAAATGTCTTTGAACACAGAAGCAGAGCAAATTATTCTAGAAATACAGAGTTTTCCTCATACAGGGAGTGGGTGATGTAACTCCTACTCTCTGGCACAGAAATCAAGGGCTGAAGATTGATCTTTCCTGTCCTTGAGTGTCTGTGACTTGCTTGACAGGCCTGAGCTAGCTCCCAGATGTTTAAATTGTCTTCAGCCTGTGATAATTTATTTATCTGTTTATGTGTGTTACCAGAAAAGTATCTCTCAAACTCTTGACTCATTTGCAGGGGAATCCAGAGGGAACAGTAGCAGCATATAAGGTTACTAGAAAGTTTTCTTTTAAAAGTAGGTCTGCTTCTGCTTTGGTCATATGAAGGGCTGGAAACGTGACATTCACTAATTTTCTTTTCTCTTCGGACATCCTTAAGACTTTGCATTTAAACATGTGGCAAAACCCCCTCTGTCACACACTTGTCTGATTGTATAGAGCAAGCCTAAAAAAAAAAAAAAGCCCAGAAAACTTTGATCTCTGTACACTTTCAGCCATAAAAAATTATAGTAACACTCAAAGTGTCAGACATTTTTTACTTGTTAAAAGTGAGCTATTATGGTACAGTGATTTATGACCTTGCATAAATCTATTGGAGCAAGCAGAAAAATAGTCCCTGTGTGCTGCTGTATTAAGGTAGCAGAAGAATACTCATGACACTCTGACTTCGAGAAAAAGTAGTTCTGTTAAGTTACATACCTTGGGACACTGGAAAAAACTGTTATGTCTAGATAATTTTTTCCCACTTACTGAACTTTGTTGTTCACAGAGAGAGTATCAGAGAGACGCAAGAAATGGAAGAAGTATTTAGATTATCATAATCTCAAAAAATTAAAGCAGAAACATTGGCCACCTCTGAAGTGTTTGGTGTTTGAATACAAAACTGAAGTCAAGCATTGTAGCATTCCCACCTCTGTGTCTTAGCTGGCCTCAAGGCAGATGTCATAGCATTAAGTAATTTCTTTTCCTATACTTATGCAGCACTGTGTCCTTACAGAGACAAAATACTTTTATTAGAGAATAATATAAATAGTCTAAATGTGGATTATTATTCTGAGGCTATGGTTTTTGTTCAGAAAATGTACAGTTTGGTACATTGCTAAGTTTGCATGTATTCTGTTGAAAACTTTTGGCCTTCTGTTGGTAGATGATCTTCTGTCTCACAATTGGTTTTTGGTGCTTCATGTCTCTGGCATTCTTTAAAAATAATCTATTCTCTGTTGAATTGCATATTTTGCTAAGATGAAATTTTCATGAAGTTGGAATGCCTTCTTCAGAGAAATTCTTCCTTGCTCATTTTGACTTTAAAAATTTAGTTTTCAGCATTCGTTTGTAGGACAAGTACAATATCTCTGCTTAGCAAAATAATTACTAGTTGCTGGCCCCATTCAAAGCTCTTCTTCAAACTTAAGATATTTTACAAAATGTGTGTGTGCAAAGCATTGTACATCTTTTAATGGGCTCTGTGTTTACATTTTACTTTATGTTTTCACTAATAGCACAAACCATTCATTTGAGAAAAGAATAAGGGAAAGAATTAAGAGTGGATGGGGCTGTGGAAGGCAGGAGTATGATGGCTTGAGTTTGTTTTCATTTCTAGGGAATAGTCAGTGTTTAATTCTTAAAATGTTGTCATGGTAGCTTTGGAAATGCTGCCTATTTTTCTGTTCCTTGAATTGTTGAAACTGCATGTGACTTAATATAGTCTATTGAATTTAATGCATAAATGTTTGAGAATGTTTTGTAGAGGGAAATTCTTCCCTGTCTTTCTGGCTACATGGAGAGTTTGCTGTTCTGATGGCACAGCAAATTGCGCAAAATAGTTGAGGCTGTGAGGCAGAAAGAGTTCTGGAGAGACGAGGCTGAAGGGTGTTTTAGCTATACTGTTTTATGTCTCTTGGGAACTTGACTTGGAAACAAAATTACTATAATTTCCTTTTGGTTTTTCTTACAAAACTTTTAGTAAAACTACTAAGTCAGAACTTCTATTTGACATTCATCTGGGAGATGCTTCATCCAAAAATATTTATCTTCAGGGTTGACTACCAGTCTTTGGCATGACTTGTCTGCAGAGAAGCATACCTCCTCTTCACTTGGCAGTATGTTTTTCCTTGGATATGTCCCTTACCCGTATTAAAGCAGGCCATCCTTCTTAGTCTGAGAAAGCTAATATGATCACTGGCTAAAATAAAATGTATTCCTAACAGACTAATAAATTATAGGCAACCATCAAACATGAAAATAGACAATAATACAAAATAGAGAGTAGTACTAGAATCATTACCACTATTTTTATTCTGAAAGTTTCCTTATATGTAGTAGTTGTATATATTAATTTTGGCATAAAGCATATGTATGGATTTGGGCAATGAGCTGGATTGGAGGCATTGGGAGCCTTTCCAAAATCACCATTGAATGAGCTAGTGGTGAACATTATGAAAAAGCCAAGCTTTTCCACTGACTTCAAAAGCATTAATTTTAAAGGGAATCTTTGTTCAAAACACCAAAGTTATTTTTTAGATGCATTGAACTGACAATTTTCAGAGGTCAGAAAAAAATTTTGCAGGGTAGAGTTGGTATTTAGACTGACACAAGAACATCTGTATGAGTAATGTGCATTATAGTTGGCTTTTATTTTATGTCATTTGGACTCTTGAAGATGACACCAAGGGCAAAAATTATAAGGGATATGAATCCAGGGTTGTGTGTTGAGAAGGCACTGCACTCCCGTGGGAAGCAGTAGCTGACTTTAATCTTTCTTTCAGCTGCTGTTAATATGCATGCCATTTCCTCTACAAGAATTCTTAGCCCAGTACGGTGCAGATCTGTAGTGTTCTGTTAAATCCTTTGTTGAGCCTCAGTAGCTTATGTGGCAGTGCCTTCCAACAGCTGGGAGATAGACATTTTAATATTCAAGTTTAAAACTAAAGCATTAATTTTTTAAGTCCTGGAGAGTGAGGAATAAATTTTTGAGTATCGTACATTTAGTTTTGTGTTCCTTATTAAGGTTTTCTACATCATGTCAAAATAGATATCGCAAGCCCTTGCTAGCTTGCCTGCCAGAAGTCTGTATTGTTTTAATTAGCTTATGGCACCAACTTGTAAGTGTTCTATGAATTCTCTTCCTTCAGTTCCAAGTTATCTCTGCTTTTAAGAGCCCTCTGTGTTGGAGCGTTGTCATATCTAAATACTATCCCAGTACTTGTGCCCTAGAACTGTCTAGAAAGATTGATTTCTGGATAAAATAGAAGCTGAGGAGTCAGAAGATCTGGTTCCCATTCTTGTTTCCTGTATGATTTTTGGCAGGTCCCCTCATCTGGACGCTTGAAATAATAACTGCTCTCATCATGGGATTCTGAAGCTGTATTAACTGACAGCAATAAAATGTGTTGAGATGTATAGATGAAAAGGTATATAGTAATGAAAAATCACAGAAATGTAGATGCAGAAGCAGTAACTTAAAACTGATTGTTTTATCATATTTACTTTGACAAAATACTTGCATAGAGTCTTTATAGTGTAGGCCTCCCAACTGAAATGCACTCACACATAAAAAGTGGCCAAAGTGAACTGCTGATGGGGTTACATTTGTAGGATGGTGGCATGCCAGATACCACTTCCTTTACTGTACATTCAACTGTAGGGTTCCCTTGTTCTTTTGTACATATGAAAGAATCTGTGAAGGAATCCTTGGGAATTTTTGAGGTACTTTGTTTTGTTGTTGATCTTGCATACAAAAATTTCATTATATATGTGTCTGTTTGTTTATAGCTCTTGTAACCTAACTGTATGTTAGAGTCAAGACTTATTCTTCCAAAAAGCCTAGCAGTTATCTGGATCAATGTACAAATTTTGAATACTTTGTCTGCAAATAATGCAGACAAATTATACCTAGCAAACAAGTAGCATTCAGACCCCTCTAAATAATTATAACCCTTTCCTCCCTTTTTCTCTAATGCAAAAATTTTCCATTATTTAATGTGGCCAGCAGTGTGGAGAACTGGGGTTGTGTTAATGATGCCCTTCTCCTTGTTCTTGTCTACTGTATTTGATCCTGTAGTCAGCTATAAAATAATGTATGGAGTGACAAGGATGGTATCTTGATTGTATCCAGCTGTCTGGAACAAGTCAAAGGCAAAGGCCTTCCATGTAGCCAAGCACCCACTAAAGAATACCAGAAATATTAAAATATAAGCCAGTTCCTGACAAAGGAAACAGGTTGGTTAGATCCAAAGCCAGCTGTGAAAGTAGTTAGGTTGTAGTCGTATCTACTGAAGTCAACATCAAAAGTTTCATTTTAATCATGCTTGGGTTTAGTTAGTTACACTCTTTTTTGAGTAGTCATTTGTGTTTCTCTATAACAATTATTTTAGTGGTCCATTAGTGGCCTTTTACTCTGGGACATGGCTTCTCTGAATTGTAGGGTCCTTCCACAGCAAGCTTATTCTTTTTTTGGACTTCTTCCTGGCAACTTTTTGTTCCAAGTATTTTTGACTTAGAAGAATTTAAGTGATCTTTGCCCCACTGAAACTCTACCCTTCCAGATGTGTTGCATTTGCTACCCTTCCAGAAAGCAGATGTGTTGTGTTTGCTTTCTGTGCAGGCCTGGTTAACAGCATGTCACATTTTTTTCTCTTCAGGTCTGGCGTGAGTTCCCTGACAGGTTGGTTGGATATCCAGGTCGCCTGCACCTTTGGGACCATGAGATGAACAAATGGAAATATGAATCAGAATGGACCAATGAAGTCTCAATGGTGCTTACTGGGGCAGCCTTTTATCACAAGGTAATACACAACTTGCACTGTACTAATGTACAATATGTACATTAAAAAAGATCTATATGCGTTGCTGTCATTGTTGCATCAGTTTTTGTGGTGCTATGATTATGTTCTTTAAAACAGTTGGAGAACTAATTGCAAACTTTTCCCTAGACCTCTTTCAGTTGCTGTGAAAAATCACTGATTTGTCTCTGCCAGTGAAATAAAACCATTACTTACCTTTGTGACTTAAAAAACTCCCTGGAGGTTCAGAAAAGAGAACCAGTTTTAAGGGAATTTGTGTGGTGGTCAGGAAAGGAATAATTATGCAGTTTAGCACCCAAAAATTATTTTCTATCCACTGAAGTAGTTCTTGTCTGAAGGCACTATCACTTGACTGCCTGCTGTTCCACGTCTGAAATATTTAGTCTTGCAGTTACTATATCTATATTTAAAATTAACTTATTTTTCTCGCTCTCTTCTCTGCAGTATTTCAACTATCTTTACACCTATAAGATGCCTGGAGACATCAAGAATTGGGTGGATGCTCATATGAACTGTGAAGATATTGCCATGAATTTTCTAGTAGCAAATGTCACTGGCAAATCAGTTATTAAGGTGGGGCTTTCCTGCTGTTTATCCTTACAAAATTAAAAACCATGAGATACATACTTACATTTATTTAGTAGGCTTCAATATGTTACTTAATCCTCCTTTTTCTCTCATTTTCCCCAGTATGGTATCCTGGTCTCCTTACATGTTAGAAAAGCCCTTCTGTTAAAATTTTTATGTTGACTGAGAAGAGAGAATTATTTTTTACCAGTTGATTCTGATGGTTATTTTAGCCATTTAGCTTTTTATAGCTCATCATAGAGATGAGCTATAAAAAAGATAATTTAAATGACAGCTGTGCATTTGTGTGTGTATATGTACATGCCCACATACATATATTATAACTATTTGAGATCGCCGGAGGAAAGAAATTGCCAACTGTCCACAGCTCGCTCTATCGTGGCCTGACAACAGCTGATTTATAGGAATGTTAATTGCAAGAACATTAATTGCAAGATCAGCTTTAAATGAACTTTTTTATCCCTGAATTAATTTCCTGACATGTTTCGACACGTTTTCAGGTCTAGACATTCACTCCGTACATTCATTTCAAAGTGTGTCAACTTGGAATGAGATTTAGAGGCCACCAGGCATTACTTCAATTAGCAGGGTCCGTTCTCCCCTCTGTCCATCATCATTTACTGGGACTGGTGGCTGCATTTCCTAGAAAAGCCTTTAGAAGATAAAGTGTGTGTACTTTGCTGAAAACGTTTCTGAGCTGCATGAGGGCAGAGCAGAGTAATTTGGCACCTCTGTGCGATTCGGAGAGTCTTGCAGGGTTTGCCAGTCAGCTCTTAACTGGAGAGAGCAAAAGAGCGCCTGTTGGATTAGCGTTACGGTGAAGTATGGGAAGCTATATTTCATCGCTGTTATGGCTGCAAGAACAAATGGTGTTTATACAGGGACCTTGGCAGTGAGAAAACAGTCATTAAACAGGAATTAAGGAGCTTGTCATCGCCACTTCTTTTCAGTTACAGAAGGAAAAAACCCTCCAAGCCGTTTTTATTGGGCCCCTGTGAATTTTGCAGTCAGCCGGGCCAGATGGAGCTGAATGGAGGAATGGAGTGGCTTTTTTTTGTACACCCCCTCTTTTTGAGACAGCTCAGCTTACACTGCAGGCATGTTCAGAGATATTGCACTGCTCTCTGTGCAAGGAGATTAATGTCCCTTCTGTTGATATTTGATAATATCTGGCGTGCCTTTCTGCAGGTGACCCCACGAAAGAAGTTCAAATGTCCAGAATGCACAGCAATTGATGGGTTATCACTGGACCAGACACACATGGTGGAAAGGTGAGTGACCACTCTCTATTTCTCTGATTGCCTTGTTCTGATCGCTAGAATTTTACCCTGTGTCTCATTAAATTAGGATCAAAAATGATAGTGTTTTTATAAATGACTAATTTTGAAAGAATGTTACATGGATTCGATCATAAGTCATTCCTACAATGGGTGATGTGTCACTGAGAAGGACACTACTAAAAAGGACTTTAGAAGGGTACAATTTTTAGCAGCTTTGCTGTAAGGCTTGTAGGACACATGTGAAGTTCGGGTTCTTGGTTGGCAGTACTGTCAGTAATACCACATTTCTGTTTGCTGTTGAATATCAACTGTAATAAGTATGAATTCTTTCTTTAAATCAGACAATTGGTAGCAAAGAGTAGAAAGGATATAAATTATTAATAAAATAATTTGAAGTGATATTTGTACATTATCTTCTTTCTAAGGATTGTGAAGCACATTGCTTCCACTAGTGAAGGGCATTTGCTGCACAATTCCATGTTGCATTTTTTAACAATGGCAGCATTATTATATTTTTTCTGAAAATTTAGTTTTGAAATGAAGTATGCATTTGGAAAGGCAGCAAGTGCTTAGAGTGAAATACTGAAAGTTTGTAAGTGTGAGATTTGCATTCTCTGCTTTATAGTAAAGGGCTTTCCAGCCTTGACCAAGACACTAGGCTTCTCTCTGCCTTGGCATCTGAATTCTTGAAATCAGGGAAAGTTTCTTCATTTTGCAAAGATGTTCAGTGTTTGAAATGGGCTGTGTGACAATAAATGTTATTTATTAGTTATTAGGTGTAACTACCTGAGATAAAGAATGATAAAGGCATCTCACTTTAGGCTTCTTGGGCTGTTGCATCTCTCCTGCAAACTTTGGGAAAAATTATTTGCAACAATGAGGTAGGTAAGCAGGGGGAAGAAGTTACCAGAAGATACAGACAGTTGCACTTGATGATCTTAAAGGTCTCTTCCAACATTTATGATTCTAAGAGGTGACAAAAGAATCTGACCTGCATTTAAAACAGGCCATTTCAGATTTGCATGGAGATGTATAACATGGTTATCCTACTAGTTATCATTTTAACAGTGATTTTTTTCCTGTCCTCTGCAGAAATCAGAAAATTTAAAGTGTTGTATGGGCTTTAATGAGACTGGATTTAAAAAAGGAGTATGCAACTCAGAAGTAAAACATACCCCATTAAGATGGTAAAAATTGCTCTGCAGGAAAATACTTGAGAAAGGGGTGGGAAGTTTTGTAGGTCTTAAATTTTAGCTGAAAGGGAAGCACAAAAGGGTCCCCCATATCTAACAATTCTGATCTGGCTTAGAGGATGGACTACCCAAGCCAGTTAAGTTTTCCTGTGGTCATAGTAGTAGTGCTACAACAATAGGTGGGAATTTTAGTTATGAACTAGGTTCTCATTAAGGTAAATACTATGAAACAGAAGATGATAAAATTGCTTTTTGCCTTGAAGTGCACTATGATGCTGGGTAAAGGTCATGTTTCCATGTCTATACCAATTTTTGTATCCTCAGAGTAAAGTGTCATTGACAGTTTATTGAGAATATGTTTAAACTATTGTTTTGCTTGTCTGTAATTTTGAAAAGTGGGGAATACTGGGCTGTGGGAAGTGTTAGATGGACTGCAAATCCACATACTTTTATTTGCCCAGCCAAAGAAGTACATGCTGAGATAGAATCTGAGTACAGGAGAATCTAGAGAGATGTACAGTTTAGGTATATTCAGACTTGATTTTGAAAATCCTTAATATCATACTGAAACTGCTTGCTACACCTAATGCCTTCTTGTCCTGTGTTATAAATGGTTTATTTTTTTGAATCTTGCATGCTAGATATTAATTTAAAGTGGATAATAAATGATAACTCCTAGAGCAAATTTTTCTAACTTAGAAGTGAGTAAGGATCTCATATCTATCTATCTATCTATCTGCTAATTATTTTCAGCCAGGAGAGAAGCTGAATGGAAAAAATGCATGTATCACTGAATCCTTGTCATTAGAATAATGTCAAAAGACTAAATTTGTACTGATAATTTACAGTGACAATACCTGAGGTGTCAGGCAAAGAGCCATTATCAGATTTACTTGCAGCTTCCCCAAGTGCCTGACTCCTTGCTTTTTAGCATTCAGAAATAACAAACAGGTAGTCTGAGCTAATTACTTGTCCGGATATCCAGGGATCAACCTACTGTTTGTGAAACAAATAGTTTTTCAGGGTTGTCACATACATGCACAACATTTAGTGTTAGGTTTCTGGCTCAGAAATAGCAGAGGGATGCCCAGCAACTGCGTGTTGGTTTTGTAAATGGAAAAGGTTTGAGAAGTCAGTTGTGGAGATCTCTCTAGGAAAGATATGTAACTAACTGGTTTTGTTGGGCATTTTGACCCATTCAGTAGAGACAAAGGAAGATGGTACAGTTGAACTCTGTCTCTTACTAAGAAATTCTATTATTTCAGCAATACACTGAATAATGGGAAAGCCAGCTTTGCTATTCTTCCTGCTGTCTAATTTATTTGAGATAAATAGAAGACTTTCGTCCCGAGGGTTATCAAAATCCATCATTAAAATACATTAACTGAAGAAAGCTTTGAACCAAGAATTCCCTTCTTGCCCTAGTTTAGCCTTTACATCAAGTCACAAAAGAAACTGCAGGAAGGTCTCATAATCACTGTATTTACAGGTGTTTAAGTGGCAAGAAGTTTATTGCCTTTAGCATCTTTGCATCTGGCTCTCAAAAATGGAGAATTCTATAAAATGCAATCTAGAGGGCAACTGCCAGTACAGTAGATATAGCAAAGAGCTGAGCTGCTTCTGTAGCCACAATAACAGCAGTGTTTTGTTGAGGACACGTAAGTATTTGTCAGAGTCAAAATAGGAAGCCATTTCCTTAAGAGGCAAACTGTCCAGGTCACAGTTGGCCAAAGGTTGCAGGTACGGGGCTACCCTGCCAAAAAATTAGTTGGATTATAGCACTGAGGAACCTGATTAAGAGAGACCTTAACAAACACCAAGTTCATCCAGGGGCAGTGAGGCTCTCAATTTCTGAGTTTACACAATCTTAATGTCTTATTGAGCTGAGCACGATTGTTGTCAGCAAAGCTAGGGAAAAAATAATACTTGGAAGCAAACATGCCTGTTACTTTGAGTTTGAAAAACTATTGATACAACTAAGAGAAACACCTTCCCTCCATATTGAGATGACATTACATTCTCTTGGCTACCTAGCTTTCAGTGTTTAATGCTCTAGATATCCTTTCTGGTTTATATTGTCCATAAATGGCAAGAACTTCAGAATTCAAATGATTTAGTTCAGTGCTACAGATTACATTTTTGGAAAGAAATGTCTTTCTTTCAAATTTTGTGGCTTGTGCATGACATTTCTTCAAAAAAGGCTGTTTCTGATCTTTGAATTTGGTATTTATTTGTGGAGGGCTAATTTCTGTTTCAGCCAGAGTGTTTAGAACATACTAATTTTTCCATTTTTAATTTTTGCCATTTCTTTAACAATAAAATGATTTGCTGATGGTTAAAGATATTGTGCTGGCAGGCTTAAATGGACTTGCTACCAAAATAAGTTCAGCTGTAGAAGGATCCCATCTTGATATTTTGTCACCAGTCCTCACTTTTGATTCAGGAGTATAACCTCTGGAGGGAAGAGGTCAATTTTGTGTGCCCTATCCATTTAGTTTTGTCTTTTGCTCTGAGGGTGCCACTTAGTTCCGGTTGTGACAATGGCTGCTCTGATGTGGACACCTGCCTACCAGGCAGTAGGCTGAGATAACTAATTCATTTCACACCAGCCACCAAGCAGCTGTTCCATTACAATGTCTTTCAGTCATTACTGGCAAAGGCAGAATTTGAACCAGTAGACTAAAAGTATTCTTGTATTCCAGAAACCAGTGAAGGCCAGCAGCTGTGCAAACCTCTCACATGCACATCTCCCAGTGCATCTACCTCCTTGCCTGTGAAGTTTGTGGGTTTCCTGCCATGAGGCTTCTCCAGTACACATCATGGATTAGTTAGCCACGTTTCTTACAAGTAACAGATTATGTGAAAGTCTATCTAAAATCAGATGTGTTTAAGATATCTCGCGGTGAGCATCCTATGGAAGCAGCAGAAACTGCTTAGTGCTCCTGGAGAAAACACTCAGTTCCTGCTCTCTGCAGAAACTACTGCAGTGAACCTTTCAGTGTCTGTGGTCCAAATCTCATTCTTTAGATGGTTCACCTTGTAATTGCAGATTACTGAACAGTTACCTGGGTCTTCACTTCAGCCCTCACTGGTGGTTCCTTTGCTCTTTCAGATCTGTGCTACATGGAGCAGATAGTGCTTGTCACAGGAGTAGAGGTTGTGTCCCACTTTACATGATTTTCTCTTACACTCTGAATTCTTTTTCTTTTGTTTGTGGTCCCAGCAATTTGAATCTGAACATAGGAAGGTATGAGGTAGGACGAAGTACAAGAGGATGGGAAGGTTGCAGAAAGTGAAGCGTCTGCATTTACCTGTATTAATATTTTATTCAAGTATCACTTCATATGAAGTAGTTTTCTGACACTTTTCTCAGGGCAGAAAATGGTCTGCATTATGACCATTATAGCTTGAAACAGCTATATGGTTGAGGAAATAATTTTGGAAACTGCTCTTGTTGTCCCGTCTACTTCAAAAGAGTGTTTGGGGCAGTGTTGAGCAGTCCCCATCACAGAACTGTCACACTCAGTTGGTGTGATTGACCAGGTCCTGATGAGGAAAATTATCCCGGAGACATAGTGACCCCCTAACCCTTCGAAGGGGTCGGGAGAGGCTGCAGTGGTTGGGGAGTGTGAGACCTGCTCTGCCACTGCCTGCAGCACATCAGTCTCTGTAGCTGAGTCAAAGTGCCCACTTCTTTTTTTGTTTTCCCTTTTGAATGGCAAAAGAAATGTCACATGTTTTCTTGTAGCTCTCTGTTAAGAGCGGGGAACTGTTGTCATGATTCTTGGTATCTGAATTCCTTAAAAGCTGTTTTATGTAGCAGACAGCTAATGTTAGCTGAGCATTGGCTGAGGTGAGATGAGCCAGGTTTTCTCTGCCTTGCTTCCACAGGTACAGCACCCTTCAATGAAAAAGTTAAAAGAGCAATGTAATGGTTAAACATCTGTTTGCTTGTTTTTTGAAGAACATGGCTATTCCTTTCTACATTACTGGCACCTGAAGTTATTAAAACTGAAAGAGTCATCAGTGGTCCAGGTTTTTTTGTGCTAATGTGATGTCTTATTGCTCAGTATATCTTTATTTAGACAAGGAAAATAAACTAGTTAGTTTGTTTCATTTTATAGTTTTAATTCAGCTTTACCTTTAAGTTGCTGTACAATCAGCTCTGCCTATTCTCTGAAGCATGTTTTTTTTTTTTTTTTTTTTTTTTTTTTTTTTTTTTTTTTTTTTTGTGGGAAAAGATAGAGCTTCTGAAGAAGCCTGAAAAAAGACAGACTTTTTTTTTTTTCAGAACTCTGTTTTCACAAGGCCTTGGTTTTTGCAAAACTTTCGTTATAAACGAAATTGACCCAACAGTGGCCCTTTAAGAGACATGTTGGCAGTTAATCTGTTCTGGTTTACAGCATGTACATTGCTTTAAGAATGACTGGAATTCTAGGGGGAGGGAGAAGGGAAGCTTTGACCTCCATGTGCACATGTGCTGCTGCCAGCATCCCCTTGCTCGTCTCTGTGATTAAATGGATAAATCAAAGAACACCAGCTTCTTTTCTGTTCTCTCTGCAGTGAGACTTTCTTTTTATTTATTAGTAGCCAGCATGGCTGAAATACTTCCAAGTGCAAGAGAGAAGGTTTCTACCAGTTATTTTGGTGTGGGAGTTGGTAGCCAGCCCAGTTGTTGGAGTTCTTAATTATACTGCTTTCCTTTTCACCAGATCTGAATGCATCAATAAGTTTGCCTCTGTCTTTGGGACCATGCCTCTCAAAGTGGTGGAGCATCGTGCTGACCCCGTCCTGTACAAAGATGACTTTCCTGAGAAACTGAAGAGCTTCCCCAATATTGGCAGCTTGTAAAGAGTGAGACAAACCTCCGTGAGGAAAACGACAGATGAAAAGGTGCTATGAGGAATATAAGGCCCCGAAGACAAAACTTGCTAGAGTGAGTTGCATCTGAGAGAGATGGGAATTAATGTTGTCTTCCTTTTACATGGCACAAAGATGTAATTGAACTCTGAACAACTGCTTCTCTGTTGCTCACAGAGAATTGAATCTATTTGTGGGTTCTCCAAAAAATGTCAAACACACACTTCTGTCCAAAGGAGGCTATGTACCTGAAGAATAAAACAATCTTGCTCTCTGTGGTCTGACTCGCATGACTGACCTCTTCTATCAAATGTGCTGCAGGCTCTCTGGTTAGTGAGCATCCATCCATTCAAAGCAACTGTCTGCAATGTAGAGCTGTTGTATTTTGGGAGGAGTTTATTTCCTGTGTGGCTGGTGGGCCTCTGTCTTTTGAGCATTAACTGTTGTCTTAAGTAACTGTTTAACAAATATTTTCTTCTGTAATATGATACAAATGTTTATTTTTTTTTACAACATCACAAACAAAAATCTGTCTGTTTTCACCTAGTTTAAAGAGCAAAGCAATTTTTGTTACTTAAATTATTTTGATGGAGATGGAGACACAGCAACCAGGAGGATACTCTCCTTCAAAGCAGAGACCTGCAGGACAGAACTACAATTGCTGCACTTCCTGTGTAAATCTCAGGTTTTCTGCTGCACTCATGCAAAAGACTCTGACTCTCTATCAAACTATTTGTATTATACAGAAAATTATTGGTCTTTAGTCTTCTTATATTTTTTATCTTCATTATAAAACCAGCAATCAAGTTACACTTTTACATTGTAGCCATCCATAGGGATGAAGTATGAAATAAGTTTGAATCCTCTTCAGCAAGCAGTCTGCTAATTTGTAAAGTACCTCTATTTGCAGAAATTCCCAGTTCCAGCTTCAGTGTACAGGTACATGTAAGACACTGTTAAAGCACACTTACAAAGTCCTGTAAGTTACCATTGTTAGAAAAGCTATTGTGTCTTTGCTTGTAATTTAAGGGACACATTGCCACAGGCTGAAACATACAACTTAGGAAGCCTTTTGGAGAAGATTTACATTTCTTAGGAGCATTTGAATTGTTTCTCCATACTGAAATGAACCTGAATGAGAAAATCAAATGCAAAATTAGAAATAAAGTTGCCTGGACTGTTACTCTTGCCTTTCAGTGTTACTGAGGGTCCTAAGTTGGACTGAGAAAGCAATCTCTTTTCTAGCTCTACTGATGAAATGTTTGTTAGTAGATAAGTGTGACTCTCTTTTGAAACCTCTGTTGCTACTGGTTACAGACACATCCTACTTGATGGGCTGTTTTTTCTGCTACAGTGCAAGCAACCTTATTCCTCAGATTTGCCAAACCCCAAACAATAGGACAAGTGTTAGACATCATGGTTCACCCCCTCTCCTAAACTGGATATGCAGCAATGACAGAAACCAAATGAAAGTCAGGCTAGAAACAGGAAACATCTGCTCCTATTTGTCTCACCCCCACTAAGACTTATCTTATTGCCCAATGCTGTGGATGTGCTGTGAATAAAAATCATATTGGAACAATAGCTTTGAGGGGATGCTTCACTTCATAACCTCCCTGGGATGTGCCTGTAAACTGTATCATCTGACTCTCTGGGAGTGTTTAATTACTAATAAATGGTTTTTGCTGCACTCTTTGTTTCATTCCTGAGTTGGTATGGGAACTAAAAGGATAGCTGTTGCAGTGACAACTGCTGTCTGCACAGTGGCTATCACAAGAGAAAGGAAGGTTTGTTACTCATTATATCTCCTTTGCAGCCCTTCAGGTTTATTAACATGAACCTTCTTTTCGACTCTTTCTGTTGATTTATATGCTGGTGCTGGAGCATCAGGAGATACCAGTATATTTCCCTTGAGAAGTTTGCTTTAAAAGGGTAGCTGTAACAGTGCAGTAGTCAATTTTAGCTGTCCTTTTGGAGCTGATCTCAGCTTGGCAGGCCCTAGCAGTTTAACTGAGTTATAACTCCTTCCTTACAGAGTTGTGAAGCTGCTGTGATTTTTTGATTCTTTCTCAGTAAGCCAGTAAAAGGTTCATTTTGCACAGAATCTTAAAAGACACTGAAGATTTGAAATACATGGTTGAATATTTTTAGATGTAGACAGCCAAACCAGTCCTGCTAAGCTGAGATATAATCTCCAGTCAGTAAAAAGGTAACCTGTCCTTGTGTCTGCATCCAGGAGCATCTGAGTAGCTTCCCCTTGCACAAAATGTCCAGTGACCCCTAACAATTATGTTTTATCCTTTGGCCTTTTACAGTTGCTTTTATAGGGCTAGCTCATTTACAACCCCATTTGTCTCTGTTTAGTGCCATGGAGAAAATTGGGCAATTGACCATAAAGAAAAATTGTAAAATTGCCTACATACTTGCTCTCTGCATTTATTATTGTGATGTTCTTGATGCAAATTCTGTAAAGGTAAGCTGCAATTGTGTGTCTTATTTACAATGGAGTTTTTGTCAATCTTTAAGATAATTTTTAACTTTTCATTGTATATATGATATCCAAAAAAACTTGATAATTGTATATTAAAAATCAAATCACATGAGTGTTTATTGTATTTCACTTCTGGAGTGGCACAAGGAAACATGAATTAATTCAGAAGGGACAACTTCAGTAACAAGCTCTTTTACTACATAAATCTGTGTTAAACTTGAATATCCACAATGCACTTCAGTAAGATCTGCCAATATTTTGTCTTTCCCATAACTGGAGTTTGATGGTTGTCTTGCAAACAGAAGTTTGGTCTGCATCCCAGTCACCTTTTGGGGAGAGTAGTTGTTACTCTAATTTTCTGCCAAGATTTGACAATAGCATTTATCTTGGAGAAATATGGAACAGATCTTTTTTTCTTTCGTTTTTTCTTTGCAAAGAGATACAGCAGATGTTAAATAACTGTACTTTTGAGAAGAGCTCTTTGGCTGAGTCACTGAGATTGTGGAATCCAATGTGGTGTCAGCTTTTTGCTTCCAGAAGCCCTGTGGATCATGCTGCAGAAGGGCAGTGTGTGCATGGCACACCTTGCTGCTTGTGCATAGCAAGGGGGAATGTGCTGCAGGGGCTGCTCTGCCAGTCATGAGGAGTCCTAAGGGTGCATTTTTAGCACCACTAGCTATTCCTACATTGCAAGAGCTTTTCCTTCCTCACGGCTCCACCATCATTTTACAGGCTGTGAAGATTCAGGTCCTGATGTTCTGAATGACTCTGTCCTTCCATCTCTAGCTCCTGCTCTGGAACCTCCTGCCATCCGTCATGCTTCCGCTGGTGTGGTTCAAATATGCTTTACTCTAGCAACAAGTTTATCCCTCTTAATTATCCATTCAAGGGCCTTTTAAACTCAAGGACCTTGGAGATGTCAAAATAATTGTGAGGTGGGATTTAATTGATGCTCAGTACTTCTGACTCATTTTGCTTTTAGGCTGTATTGGTGAGTGTTGAGCCTTCTAAATAGATGCTAAACTGAGATACATGAAAATGGATTTAGAAGGGCAATTTTAATGTTAAATATACCTCCAAGATTTGATATCAGTGCCCTCCATAATGAATGTCTGATACATTGGGTACTTCTCACAGGTAAAGCATCTTTTGATCAGGAAAGATCTCAGAATGGTTAATGAATACTGCATAAATCTGTCCAGCCCTCTTACATGGAATCTGCTCTCACAACCAAAGCATGATATACATGGGAGAAAGACTAAAATCAATGGTGCTGATGAGAAAATAGGATCAGAGTGAGTATGAATTTTTTCATTTTTCTCTTTGAAGATTTGCATACTTAAATTTTACTATGACTGCTGCAAAACATGTTTTTTGTAAACTAAAATGTAAAGTATGTGTAGTTCTTTCAGTCCTGGATAGTCTCATCTATGTACTTGAATCACAAAAACAAATCCTGCAAATTTATGTTTGATTAAATCTGTGCTAGAAAATGAACAATTTCCCAATTCCAATTGGTCCAGTTGCTAACTTCAGTCTGATCCTAAAGAACTGAGAAGACCAGAGCAAATCCTGGCAAGTATTTCACCTATACTGCCTTTTCATTTCAATTTTTAGGCTGAAAATAATAATTTCTGTCGAAACTTGCCAGAAAATACCAAACACAATGCTCCATAGGATCTGCGGGTTATCCCATGAGCAGGTAGTCTCTTCAAACCTCTTGCTAACATTGGCACGTGACAGAGATAGCATTTGCTTAGCAGAAAATTCAGGTAGAACATGTTTGTTTTACTATTGAGTCATATCTCATGCTATTGGGAGTGCCTGTAGGATGGTGTAAGTTCTTTTTATGATGGATGCCACTGCTGTATCTAAGTGCAATAAACTGAGCTTCATGGTCCTTCTGCATGGGTAAGATCAGCCTCTTACTTGTAGCTGCAGATAAGGAAATGGAGATGGTCAGATTCCCTTTGGAGATGTGTGGGTGAAAACAGGATTGAACACCAATATACCAAGCCTGGGATTTAGCAGAACAAGCTACACTTTTATCTGAATTGTTGTTTGTTTGGAGTTTTGGGTTCCTCACTACCAAGGCAGAGGACTGTTAGCCTTGACTTTAAGAATCAGCAGGCTTCAGCAGGCCCTGGCTTGAAGCCATTTAGAGACATTCCTGGTGCACTCTGTGTAATTTCAGCCTGATGGAAATGGCTGTAATGCAGTCCCACCTCTGCTGATCTTCAGGATTCCCCTGTCTGCAGCTTCTTGTGGTTGCTTTGAAAGTGAGTTATGTTTCCCATTAAAGGATAACAGGGACAATTGAGGCAATTACAGGGACTGGCTTGGAGCTAGCAGCACGAAGGGAGTTTTCCGACTGAAAACAGTGCTGCTCAAAGGTTCTTCCTGCAAGGTTGCCTGTTTGCTGTCTTCATTTGTCTGGAAAAGGATCTCATAATTGTCCTTCAAATTTCCTTTAGTCATACTAAATGCCTGTTTACTTGCATAAACAGGAAGTGCTCCTGCTCCAGACAAGCATACCAACTCTGTAGCGACCATGGACAGAGATCAGTGCAACTTGGTTATGATTTTATTTGGTCTATAAACTTGTGTCAGTGCTCAATACCAGACTCTGTGCAGGGGGAATGTTGTGACTAAGAAAATACCAGCATAATTATTAAGTCACATGTATTATATTTTTAACCTAAATTTCAGTTGGGGGGGGGGGGCTGGACAAAGGTCAAAGCTGGACCATTTGACCAATGAAGGCACAAAGAACTTGGGATATGCAGATACGAGGTTTTCCTTGTGTCATTATGAGGTGTAGTTTCTGTTGCATCCTGTGCTTTTGAGGATGAAGCTTATCTCTTTTAGCCCCTCCCCTCCATTAGGTGTAGTGATGGGAACCTGTAAAACTAAAAAGCTTGGGACTGACTGAACAAAGTGCCACTTACAGATATCCAGCTGCCCAGTGTGAATACCTCATGCTCATCCAGGAGATAAGCTCATAATGCCTTGGAAAGATACCTGAGCTTTTCAAGCCACCAGCTGTGTTCCCTCCCACATGTCCATGTGTATATGTGCCATACACTCAAGAAAACCATTGTTTCTCACCTGCTTGGCTGGCTGTTTGTAAACTTACAGGCCCTTCTTTTGTGAAATTTCTCTTTGAAGGTGAGGGCCAAGTCTCAGCTGGGTGCTGGCCGAAGTTTGTGCCGGGTGCCTTCAGTTGCAGACTGATGGCAGCAATAACTGCTTTGCCACACTTCATACAAACAGGGAAGAGAAAATGCTTTAAGGAGAAAGGACCATAAAATGAGATCCAGGAATTCAGTAAGGCTACAGCAAAAGGAGCAGATTGCTAACTCAGAGCATCTGTCTTTGCCCTGTGAGTAAGTTATGAACTGCAAAGCAAGAGAAAGTGGAAGATCCTTTCACAAATAATAAACACTTGTTTGTGTCAGATTAAATGCAACACCTTTACATGTGGGCTCCAGCTGGCCATAAGTAGATGCACCTTGCATGGCTGTTACCTTTCTTGCCAATGAGAAGATTATTGAACATCCATCTGCTTAAAGGTTAATAACCTGCTTTTAAAAAGAGGAAGAAAAAAAGGCAAATATGTATAGTTTACAGGAATAAAAAATTGTTTTTCATTTAAACTGCCCGAACTTTGCCCTGCCTCAAAGTCATATTCTCCAGCAGAGAAGGAACGTGTTAACCTAGGAGCTGCAGCCACATCTCCCAGAGAGAAATTTTTCCATGTGTTTTAAATAACTCCTCTAAGAAGGTGCAGCTTCAAGAAGAAAATCCACATTTCTAATCTGGGTTCTGCCACTATCTAGAGAGAGAGACTTCAGTTCTTTGGCATCATTTAGGACAGGAACAATTTCTGATGTAAACCCTTATAAGCAGGATGTTACTGAAACTGGCTTTAGGCTCTCAACACTCTGAGCTCTGCCAACATCTGGAGAATCTGGCTTTGAGTGCTTCAGGAGGGGAAGGAATTTTTCTCCTACAAGTGAGAGGAATGGATAAGCTTGCAACAGCACCTGCATTATCCATTTCTTTGTGAGACAGAAAACAGCCATGCACTAAGGCAAGCTGATGCTCCCAGACAACTGGTGGAAAGGCCAGAGGGGCTCTGTGGGTCTTGGTGGGTTGCTGGCAGCTGCTGGGCACCTTCTTAGCTTTGCCTGAGCACGAAAGGCCCTTTCCAGTCCACCCAGCATCTGGGTACGGGGACTTGAGCTCTTACCGGTCCCAGTTCTGGTGGGTCTGTGCTGTCCAAAGGAAACAGTTTTGCAGCTGAGTTTATTGATGGAGTACAAGCAACAGAAAGGCCCTCACAGAATACAGATTTCCCTGCAGTGGGACAAGAGCTGTGTCCTGTGAACTGGCGGGGCCAGACAAACCCTTCCCTTTGCGTGAGGACGAGAAACCCAGAGGGCTCAGTTTGCCCCACAGCTCCCTGAGCAGCTTCTGGCTGCAGGCAGGCACCTCTGGGAAACCCTGCAGACCCACAGAGGAGAAGAGGGTGGGTGAGGCTTGGATGCCTCTGCTAAAGTGGAGCTAGGAGAGGAGGATGTGTGACAGCCTGTGGGAATATGGGAAACACTGCCAACCCCAGGTGTCTTCTCCTAGGGCTTCAGGAGACCTTGTGCTTGGTGTCCCGAGCATGACTGTGCTGTGTAAAAGGGGTGGTGCCACAGCATGGGGAGCTCAGGGTCCCCAATTCCGTGGCCTCTTGTTGCCAAGTCAACTTCTCGCCGTGTCAGCTGTGGTTACCGGTGGGATACGTGCGGGAGCCCTGTGAGGCTGAAGCTCTGCTGGAAGCACAACTGCGGAGCAGTAAGGCAAGGAGGCTGTCCTGCTGCCGAGCCCGCGGCCGGGCTGCCCGCGGCGCTGGCCGGTGCGGAGCCGAGCCGTGCGGAGCCGTGCGGAGCCGAGCCGTGCGGAGCCGAGCGGAGCCGAGCGGAGCCGTGCGGAGCCGAGCCGTGCGGAGCCGTGCGGAGCCGAGCCGTGCGGAGCTGCGGAGGCGGCGGGCCGCGCTCCCGCGCCCGCCCGCGGGCGCTCAGCCAGCCCTTTGTACGGGACAGGCAGCAGCCCGTGAGCTGCCACCTGTTGTCAATCTACCCCCGGCTAATCCATTCTGGACTGCGTCAGCAGTTCAAAAGGGCACTGTTAGTATTTTTTGCCAGCTTCAATTAACGTGAGATTTTGGAGGCCCCTCTGATCACATTTCATCTGTCATGAGTCAGGAACAAACCAGCCAGATTGCAGTTGAGAGGAGAGAAGAGAAGGAGTTTATTGCAAACCAAAACAACAACAGTGTTTGTGCCCCCTTGGCCAGAGTGGCTGGGAAGCAGGGGCCTTCCCACTCCTTTCAAAACCTGGAAAAATAAAAATTGGTGGCTGGAAATTCCAGCCCTTCACCTCCAAAAAAAAAAAAAAAAAAAAAAAAAAAAAAAAAAAAAAAAAAAAAAAAAAAAAAAAAAAAAAAAAAAAAAAAAAAAAAAAAGCTGCAAGTGCAATAACTTACTTCAAAAATTAAGAAGAAGCAAGCTGCAAGACTGTTTGTTCTTTTTTAATATTCCACTGTAATGAACTGGTAATACATGGTTGCATAGGCAATAACATTGCATGGCACAAACCTCATGTGGCAACATTTTAAATGATTTTTTTATTCTTTTTTTTTTTCCTGAACATTTTTAAAACTTTTTTTTTTTTTATATGTTCTACCCCAGGCCGTTAAGCTAAAGAGAAAAAAAAAAGGTAGCATTTATACAAGGTTACAATATTTTACAACAAAAAACCAATAATATTGATTGAGGTTTGTTTTCTTTCTCCCAGTCTCTCTTTCAAGCACTGCACACCTAAACCGATATATTATTATACATTGAAAACTGTCCTTCAAAATCAGTAGTATAAAAGTCCTAGCTCTACCTACCTACCTAGCTATGTGGGGGGGGGTGGAGAACCATGTTACCAGCAAAGAGTTAAGGGGGTGTAAGGCTGCTCCCTCGCCTCCTCCCAGCTCCGTTTGGGAAGCTGCAAAGAGCTGAATGACTTTCCATCCGATTCCACCCCCTTCCCATTTGGGTTTAATTTCTCCCTCGGTCTGTTTGCTTTTTGCTATGTCAGTCAGAGCAGCAAAATAAACACGGGGCTTTGCCTCTGCTTGATTATTTTTCAATCCTTTTCCAAGAAACTACCTTTTTGCCTTAGTTTGTTTGGAGAGTGTTTTACAATGTGCTGCCCGGTCTGAGCGTACTCTGAGAATCGGGAACGCGCCTCCCCACCCCAAAACACCTCCAGTGCGGCAGGAAAGCAGCAGGCAGCCCTGTTGGGCATCGCACGGGGAACTGGCCCGGGCTGGTGATGCCTCCCCTCGGCTGATGGGGCAGGTGAAGCCATGTGTGCTGTATGTGTCACGTGTGGCACACTTTCCCTAGCACCCTGCCTGTGCAATGGCTCAGGCCAAGCATGGCCCAGCAAAGACATTTCATCTGGCAGGATGTGCATTCTGGCAGGCATGGACACTCGCTCACAATCTGCCACTGGCTTTAGAGGAGAGGGAGGGTGGTTCTCTTCTTATTTTGCTGTCTTGGTGTTCCTCCCTGTAGGGTCTAACCAGGTAGGTGCTGGCGCAGTGGGACCTGAACTGGGTAGCATATTCTGGAGGAGGCAGCCAGAACCTGGCTAGAGAGCCTGCTGGAGTGCAGGTGGGTGGCACTGCTGGCAGTAGGTGACGTGCCAGGGGCCTGACCTGGCCCCTCCCCAGGAGCTTGTTGAGGCACAGCAGCCCTAAGAGTCTGGACCCTGCAGGGTCCAGCAAGCCCCAACCTAGTTCCCCACTGGTTTCAGTTGCTACCAAAGCACTAACTACTGCTTGTGGGCAAGAAGTGCCTTCGAGTACTTGGCAGCGAGTGGTACCCAACTACTTTTAAGCCAGTGCCAGGAACCTATGCTGCTCTTGCTATTTGCATCCTCCTGCTCTCAAAGCTCTGGGACATCTCTAGGGTTCCCAGCCATGGGCAACATAAGGCAGCCACGTTGTAGGGTACCAGGGCCAGAACTGCTTGGGTGAAGTTTTGCTCCTCCCTCCATGAGGCTGGAGGGAGATTCTGGGTGAGCCCAGTTAGCTGGGCTGCACCCACAGAGGATGCCACCATGGGCATGGCAAGTGTTGGGATGGCTGATGCTTGTGAGATATTTTGGTGATGGATGGGGACAAAGCTTGCAGCTTTGAAGGCAAGTCCCAGCCAGGGAATTGTGATTCAATGTATAGACAGGAGTAAAATACTAAATAAGAAATAAATAGAGAAGAAAGTCATAAATAGAATTGAAAAGTATTAAAATAACAACAATAATAATAATAATTAAAAAAGGTGTCATCATGGCAATGTGAGATTGCGAGAACAGCAGTGACCCTGTGACCTTTAAGAAATGCAGTAGCTGTAGGCTGGCTAGGTTAAGATACACACACACACATATATATACATATATATATAAGTATATATATATATTTATACCGTTTTTCATGTTAATTTAACAGCTAGTCTTAAAAATCCTTTTAAATAAATTTTAAAAATGTATTTTAAGTACAGATGATGTAGCTTAAAAACTGCCAGAACAACTGCTTTTGAAGGTTTGGGAGGGACAACCCTTCCAGTATTACCCAGATGTGTGGGCGCAAGGGACTGTGCCGGAATGGCAGCAGCAGCCAGAGAGGTGAGGCAGAGCCTGGTGAACAGTGGGGCTGCCTGCAGCTGGAGGTGGGAAGGGAGCCCTGCACCAGGGGTCCAGGGAACAACATTCCCCTTGCCTCGTGGTGTTTTCAGGCAGGCTGAGGGCTGGGCACATGCAGCGGTGTTTAAATTAGACTGAGTCCAACATGTGCTTTCCACATGAATTTTAAGGTGAGAGAAAGTGGGGGCCAAGCTTCTCTAAATGCCAAGTCTGCTGCCAGAAGACTCTCCTCTCTCTCTCTAACAAGACAGGGATACAGCACTTAATCCTCTGGGCTGTTAAACAGCTCAGATGTAATACTGGCCCCGTGGAAGTCTGTGAGGAAAAGCTACCTTTTAACTTCAGTAGGGAATGCAGCTAAGCTCTTGAATAGCTACAGCCCTCCACAGGAGCTGCCTTCAGAGCTTGCAGGCTAAGCGAGACCTGTCCCCATCTGCCCGCCTGCCCACTGCACTCCCCTTAGCTCTGCTTGTTGCTAATTTGCCTCGTCAGCAATGGTACTGGACTGTTCAGGCAGCAGCCCTCCACTGGTTGCCTGCTGACATTGGGAAGCATCAAGATTCCCAGTGTACCTGGGAAAAGGCTCTCAACGCTGTGCTTAGCTGCCTACACAAATCTGATGGACAAACTGCCTCCTGCCACCAGTCCCTGGGTAGCTGGGAAGCTCAGTGGCTTCTGGGGTACCCAGTGTGGGATGTACACACCTCCAGCTGGTCAGCATGATCCTGCCTGGTTCAGTGATCAGCATCCCTTTCAGCATCTAAGCCACCATGCCTGAGGCCTCAGCTGAATGTTTATGCTGGGATGTAAATCCTGGCTGCTTGTGATGGGAGAGGCCCTGGTTATGCAGATGATGTAGTGAAATGCATGCTGGCTCCCTGTCCATAGCAGGGAAGTAATCTCCTAGCATTTCTGAGGAGAGGAAAAAAACAGTACTACTGGTGTTTTCTTATTCCAGTAAATATATTACTTTTGACCTAGCAATAGTGTATCATTAAGGTAGTGTATTGACAGACTATGGAAATACTTATATGGCTCATTAACCTGAAGCTGAACATTTGGTTGTAGCTTATTTGGAACTTTTTCGAAGACCACTAGATATTCCTGGACCTTAAACCACAAGATCCCCTAACACTGGGCATGAGGAAAGAGGGCAGGGTGACAAACCAGTTTTTATGGGAGTAGTATCCTATAATTCCCTTGCAAATCTCAGAGATGGCTACCCCAGCTCAAGCCCAGCTTGCAGAGCCACACTGTGTGGATGGTAGTGCTCAGCTGACTTTCAGCTTCTCCTTGGCAGTATTTCAGTGGGGTAAAAGGATATTCCAAAATTATTCCATGCACTATGATCATTGAAAAACTTGTAAAATGTTTAGCCTTGCAAAGGAGATCTTACTTAACAGCTCTGTGCAGGTAAGAGCCATGGGACGGAAAAGCAGACAGGCATGTTGGTTCACACAAACCAGAGAAGTTCTGGTCTCTTCTACTTCCTCTGCAAAGTGAAGAGGAACTGAGGTGGCTGGAGATAGGGCAGCATCTCCTTGCTCTCCCTCGAGCCCCTTCCCAGCCTGTTCCCTTTGCTGTCCCTGGTGCAGAGATGCCCACGGCCACTGTGTGCAACAGGGCACTGGGGTGGAGGGCTGAGGAAGGGCCTGTCATTGCACATGTCTGACCCAAGATGAGGTGTATGAGCAATTTGGTGGCCTTGTGCCACGGTGGCGGTGTGCTAGTGCTTGAGCTCTTTCTTGAGGCAGTCTTTTTGGGGACTTGCAGATTTACATAGCAGTTGTGCTTCCCTGCCAGGGCTGCTGTCTCTAAACTGAAGTTAATAATTCCCAACCCAGTGAAAGACAGAGGAAATATTTTCCTGTACCACCATCCTTGTGAGGCTCAACATAGACCACGAGTAGGGAAAGCAAATCCCAGGCATTCCCTGGGGCATCGAGCCATGCTGGAAAGCTGTTGTTTGCTGGGGTGTATCTTCATCTGGGGCACCAGAGGGCTGGCAAAGACTCTCAGCATGATAGCACCGTGCCATGGTGGGTAAGGGCGTCCCCTTCACAGGCCTCTACAACTCTGCTGCATTTCAGAGTACAAGATGGAGTGGGAACAGGGTAGAAGGAGATGGGCTAATGTTGCCTTTTTTCTAGCTTCAGTTATCTTCCCAGCCCGGTTCCCCACTCAACTGTGGGAAGTAGTAGCTCCTGCTAAAAATTATGTTGGCAGTGCGAGAGAGTTTCTTTGCTGGTGCCAGAGTCCCCATCCAGTCCCTTGCCCAAGGCAGAATATGTGTGTGTGAGTGAGTGTGTGTGTGGGTGGGTGGTGGGATGGGAGAAGCTGCTGAAAGGCCAGTGGGCTCTTGCTCTTTGGAAAGGCATGTCTGGTGTCAGAAAAAACAGCGGGAAGAAAAAATGCCCAGGTTGTTGGGGAGGTGGCAGTGAGAAGGGAGGCATCCCATCCCAGATCTTAATGGAAGAGGTGCCGCTCCACAGCCTCCCTCTCCCTGCCTGACCCCAGGAAGCCGGGAGGTGCCACGTTCATACTGGAAACTCTCCACTTACATTAACATATGTACTTTATATGCCTAGGGTAGCTAAAAGTGCTGCATTCAGATCCCCGAGGAGGCAACTGCTGTCTGGAGTCCAAGCGGATGGATTTCCTGGGCTGTCCCCAGGCGCTCTCTCCGTGTCCCGCGGGCACTGGGCTGCAGCCCTGTCATGTCGCCCAGGAGATCGCGGCGCTGTGCTCCTTCGCTTTCATCCTCAGGGCAGCGATGCTGGAGGTCTTGCGGTCCGGCTCGCTGTTCAGCTCGTAGCCATTGAGGCTGGGGCTCATCCCGGCCGTGCCGAAGAGGCCGCCCATGTGAGTCTGTCCCACGGGCGCCGAGACTCCCAGGAACTCGGAGACGCCGCCGGCCGCGTGGGGGTGGGCGTGGGGGGACATGCAGGACGGCACCGTCTCGCAGGGGACCACGCAGGCGGGCACGGGGGAGGCGGCTCCGTTGTTGCCAATCCAGGAGGGGTTCTGGATCTGGAAGTGGGAAAAGAAGCATCAGGGCTGCCCTGTGCAGGATGCTTTGGGCAGCTGGCTGAGGGAATGGACTGTGTCCAGCCCCGGCCTGGCAGGGCAGCCTAGTGGAGGGGCAGCCACTGAGGTGGGCATGCAGTCGCGTCTGCTGGCCCCTGCTCAGCCCTGCTGCAGCCAGCAAATCCACTCCAAAACCTGTATGCCAGCCTGCACGGGGCAGGGAGTGCAGCGGGGTTACTCACAGGGAGCAGGATTGTGCTCCCCTGCCACATCTGTTTATTTATTCTGCTCCCAGACACTCCTCTTAGTTTTTTTGTACCATGAGCACTTTTCTCAGTGCAGGAAACTTTGTGTCATCCGTGGTGTTTCTGTGGTCCTACTCATTACAGAGGGGTCAGGCAGAAAGCAGTGATGTGAGGCTGCTCATCCACCATCCCTCTCCAGCTTGGGGCAGTTTTGCCTAGGCAAGGTTTATTTCGTACCGTATCGACATGCCTGTCGGAGCTGAGCCCCCAGCACAGGCAGCTTCATTGCCCCTCTCCCCCAAAAGTGCCCATCCAGGCAGCAACACCCACCCTGCTGCAGAGCCCTGCAGGGCCACCTCAAGAGACCATCTGGGATCCTGCAGTGTCACTCACAAAATGATATCGCAGAAGAAGAGAGGAGGGCTCAGTATTTGGCAGTGGGAATAGGTGTGCTGCAGCAGGGGATGCGCGGGCATGCAGGATGAAAGCAGAGAGGAGGTGAGCAGCTGGCTGGAGCAAGAGGGCAAAGGGCCCTTCATCCCACTGCCCCTTTCCACTGCTTGCCCTTGGGCCCTCTCTGATCTCTTACCTCCTGCAAATTGCTTTTCAAATTTTTGATCTCTTGTGCTGGGAGAGGAGGGCAGTATGAAGGGATAGAGCAGTGTAAGTTACAAAGGCAAGAGAAGGACATGCTAAGAAGGCTGCTTGAAAAGCTGCTTTGGCGTCTCAGCTGTTTCAAAAGGATTTCTTGTTCAGTTTATGGGAGACGCCAAGCGGGAGAGAGGTCAAACACTCCTGGCTTGGCTGTGGGGTAGCATTGGTACAGCAGTGGCTGGGGAGGCAGCTGACAGACAGGGTGTCAGGGAGGGAGGACTTCCAGCAGATCTGTGAGGACAGTCAGGTTCAGAGCATCATGCCTGCAGAATTGTGCCCTTGAGCAAATTCTGGGTGGTGGGAAGAGGAGTAGAGGATGGAGGGAGTGCTTTCTGGGCACAGCCTAGTCCTGGAGCTAGCAAACCCCAGTCTGCCTGGCATCATCTAAAGTGTTGTGAAACTGGGGTTAGCCCAATGTTTAAGAGGCAATTTTGCTGACAGGTCTTCTAAGACAGGAAGCTAAGGAGGGGAGGCAACCCTGTGACTTGGTTCCAGGGTCAGGGCAGGAATGGTTTCAATAGGACTCAGAAGCAGCCTCAGGTACTCCAACAAGACTGCTCCCTCCCCTCTTCCTTTGGAGCATAAATCTATCACTTCCTTGGGAAGCATCCTCAGATGTCACCAAGTGTGCTGTGCATACCACAGCTCATCACTGGGAGACTGCTGTGGGAATTTGCCAGGGGAAGAATGCTTTTATCCAACCACCATGTCCAAGGGGCATCAAAACCAGACATAGTAACAGGAAGCCACCCTGGGATCTGCTATTCTTTAGACACGAATGAGCCTTTTGGATCTTTTTTGAATCAGTGGAAAGCTAGTGGGCAGCAGCATAGGATGTGCTGAGCAGGGTGGTCTGTGCCCAGGGGTGCTTCTCTATATCACACAGTGCTGGGCTTGGTACCTGCTTTAAATGTAGCTGCTCTGGGCCAGAGCATGAGGGAGCCAAGCAAGACTAAAAATCTGCCAGCCCTTCAATGCCTGGCACTATAGCCCCAGTGTCTCTGCAGCCTTGCCAAGGGCAGGTGGATGTGCCTGAGAAGTGAAGCATGGCTGGGGGAGGACTGGCACCAGAGGCAGCGTGTCCAGCAAGCACTGTGCCAGGCAGGGGAATGCACTCACCTGGGCGTAGTTCTCAGCACGGGTGAGCAGAGGCAGCTCGTAGGCGGTGGAGAAGTGGGTCCGGACCTGCTGCATCTGACCGAACCGCTCCCGCTTGCGCCATTTGGCTCGCCGGTTCTGAAACCACACCTGGGGAGAGGCGACAGCAGGGCTGTGAGCAAGGGGAGCCCAGCAGTGCTGGCAGCCCGACAGCCCTGAAGAGCCCACCAAAGGGCAGGGCCATGCCAGGTGGTGGTTTGGTGTGGTTTGGTATGGCATGGAGAAGGGCACTGCTCCACACACGTGCTCTGCAGGGGAGAGACGGTCCTTCCCTGCTTCTCCTGAGGGTCTGGGGCCAGCCTGTGCTCCGGGAAAGGGAGCACTCCATGCAAATGGGGATATCCATCTTCTGGTGCACAGCCTCTCTGGGGACATTCCCAGCTCTTGCCTGATTTGCCCTGGAATAGCCCATCTTCCTCTCACCCCTAAATCTGTGTTACCCAGGCTCTGCCTGCTGCTTTCCTGCTGTCAGCCAGTCTCAGAGAAGTGTGAATACATCCGTGTGTGAATACATCTGCTGCCAGGCTGAAAACAGCAGTGATGGGGCTTTCCCCAAGACTAATTCTGGCTATGATGCCATTGACTGCAGCTTGCATTTCTCACCAACTCTCTCATTTTTCTTAACCGCAACAAAAAATACAAAGCTAAACACCCCTTCCCTCCTTAGCTGCAGGAAAGGACAGGTGTCCTATAGCATCCTTTGGTTTACACTGAGTTTTCTTTGCAGGGTTTGCTACTCTTTGCTTCACAGTGCTGCTCAGATCCCTTCAAGGCAAAGACCAAAACTCTGTTTCTGCTCTTATTTTTACTGGCTTGACATCAGTGTGGATTATTGCACTGTTGTCAGCACCATTGCTCCTGATTTGCATCAGCCTAAGAGAGATCAGAGCCTGGCCCAGTGTCTTCAAAGCCTCTTGAAGCTCGTGAGTCAGGGAAACACATCAATCAAGAGCTGCTTTGAAGGCACTGAGAGATGAGGACGATCACCAGGGGCTGGGTTGTGCAGGTCACGCCAGTGCATGAAAGGAGCACTCCTAGAGCCTCTCAGCTCTGCTTCGAGTTTTACACGGTGACTCGCTGCAGGGGGCCAGAGGGGTATTGCTGACAAGCAGCTTGGCCCTTCCCACGCCTGGCCATGGGGCAGCTTCGCTGCTTGCCAGGCACCTGGGGAAAGCAGACGCCAGGTAGGAAGCTCATGTCTTCACAGGACAGCAGGACAAGGCAGGTGCTTGGCACAAGGTGGGATGGCAAGACAATTTTTGCGGGGGCAGGAGTGCTGTAGGTCCTGCAACCTGAATCAGTGCAGCCAGGAGCTGCTACGGAGAGGTATAAGGGGTTTGGGTTTCTGGTCTGAGCTGACCTTCCTATTTGTGCTGGAAGAGTTGTTTCAGGCTCTCCTGCTTCAGTTTCTGCCTTCCACCACATAGACAGCCTCGTGAGGGTCTCTTGCAGCCAGGCCTGTGGTATGATAGGCTGCTAAGGGTCTAGCCATGCACTGTGGTCTGCTTTGGGCAGGGAGCCGATAATGCAGCTGCCAGGCACATGCTTCTCATGTGGGCTGTGGAAAGCACAGGGTTTAGTGCCCGGTCCCATGGCCATGATGCCACTGGCATGGGCCATCCACTAGCTGGCCAAAGCAGCAACCTGCTATCAACCCCCTACCCCAAATCGATAACCCTGTGTTTTCAGTAGGTGCAGAAAGCATCGGAAGAAGCATCCTAACATTATCCCAGCACACACTGCACATGCAGAGCGTCCTACTGGAGCAGGTTTGATGCCTCAGGCATCTGTCTGTTTTTCTTCTACCTCTTCTTGGCACAGCCACTCCAGCCCAGCTGCAGGCCAGTCCCAGGGCTGGCCTGGATCACGCCGCTTTGATCTGAAGATTCAAAGTTAGCGGTGGTGACCTGGTTCTTCCTCAGGCGGAGGAGGCCCCGCTGTGCTCAGAGGGGTGGAGAACAGGTAGGGAGCAGAGTGCTGGCTCTGCATGAGGCCGGGATGAACATATGCCAGGCATACGCGGCCGTTCCCTGTGTGCTGAAGGCACCGGCTGCCTTGCCTGCCTGAGCATCCCACCTGGGAGCAGGGAGGCCGAGCTCAGGCTCCCATGGCAGGGTGTGGCCCTGCAGTGCGACCTTCAAAGACATCAGTGCAGGGTCTGTGCCCTCTTCCTCCCAGGACAGCACAACAGCTGCCTTGACAGAGCAGAGTGGGGTCTGGGCTTCTGCTCTAACACATTGGATTGAACAGAGCAAAGCAATTTAAATTGGCAGTTCCCAAATTGCCATGTGGCTGGTGGCTGGGGCAATGTGGCAAGTCATTGCATTAGGCTGAAGAAGAAGAGTGTCTTCGGTCCAAGTGTTGGTGTCAGAGGCACCAGAGGCAGTCTGAGAGCTGACAGTGAGCTCTGAAGCACTTGTGGTGAGTTTGGATCACTTTTAAAATCTGCCCTTTCTCCTCTGGTCCAAATCCTTATAGGCTTCTTGGTATTTTGCAGTTGGGTTTCTCCAGGTCTCCACAGTTATCCGGGAAAAACAAGACAGGCATGGCAACGCATAATGTGAAAATGTCAGCAAAAAACCTCAACTAATCCTCAGTATTTCCACAGTCTTAGAAGACACCTGCTTTTAAAAAGCAAATCTAAACCCAAACAGAAGTTCATTTTCCTTTCATTGCCTGTCACTCCCTGTCAAGAGCGGCTGTTGTGGGATGGGAATGTGACAGCGGAGGTTGCAGTGGCTAGTGCAGCATGTCCTCTGGGGTCAGGATGGGCTACTTTGTGCAGGGGCCAGCAGTCACTGTGGACTGAATCTCAGTGTTAGCAACTACAGCAGGAGTGTACAGTAATGGCATGTGTCTAACTCCTGCAGACAATGCTTATCAGCCCTGATGTATCCAAATCAGCCCTGTAAAAATCTACAGAACAGAGAATGTTTCATGTCTCCATAAACATTCAGCTATATGCTGGTACCTAAATATATATGCATACACAGCTGATGTGCTGTTGGGGGTGGAGAGGCCAGAAGTGGCCTGAGACAAAGCAAGGAGGCTCCTGCTCACTCTCTTGGTGCCTCTACCCTTGCACCCAGTGGGCACTGCCAGTCTGCCCCTGCCACCAAGCCCTGTGTGCCCTGCACAGGGCACAGGTGGATGGGCTCAGTTGGGACTTAACCCAGGTCACTGACCATGTCTGGATAGTTGGGGGCTGCATCACTGATCTGTCCTTCCTCCAAGTTAAAGGTCTTTTCCCCTCTCTCATGCCCGCACCGTGGCAGTGGTGGTGAGGCTGCACATGTGGTGGTGGGCTGGTGGCAGCTGTGGGGTTGTGTTCATGCCCTGTGCTCAGCAGCCCTCACTGCATCACTGCTCTGATGCAGGTAAGAGCTGCCCACCACATTCAAGTCTCCCGTGCTTTTACTCTCTTCTGGCAGCCTCAAAGCATCCATTCTCCCCATTCCTGTCCTCTCACCCTGCTACCCTCCTCTCTCTGCTCAGACTCCATCTGTCTGTGTTCAGGACCCCATCCCTCTGTGAAAGGCCAGGCCATCTCCCCTCTTGCCAGAGATGGACACCAGTCCTTTGCTTTTCAGACTGCAAGAACAGAGCCAGAATTCATCCTTGAGTGCTGAAACTGGACACCGTTTTATCAGTGGCCTGGAATGGGAAATTGGAGCCTGGGATGAGAGAATTGAATAACTCGAGCTTGTTTTCATTTCATGTTTAATTTCCTGCAGGCTTAGCTCAGGCTTTCCGCTCCTTCCACCAGCCTCCCAGGGTTTTATGGGGGAAAAGGGATCAAGATATATTACTTCTTTCTTTGCTTTGCTTTTTTTCTTTTCTTTCTTTTCCAAGGCGGTGATTTTGCTACAGCAGAGTTTGACATTTCCCTCTCACTTTCAAGCCCCACCGCATCACAGGGTCACCGCCAAAAACATTTCATTAATGGTCCCAGCAATCATAAAGCTGGCTCTGAGGGGGGCTGCCTGAGGGGTTATATTCCCTGGCTGTGAAGCCTCCTTCTAGTCCCATCCCTTTCTCCTCTCCCAGAGAGCAGTCCAGGAGGTAGATACTGATAACCCAAGAGAGATAAGCAGCCAGGGCCAGGCTGGCATGGGCTTGGGATGTGCCTGTGTGTGTTTCAATGCAAGGGGAAGGAATAATGTGTGAATACATGTGTCTACCTTATTTTTCTAGTGCCACTGCCTCAGGCAACTGCAGCAGACCTGGATGAGCTGAAAGAGCCTCAAGCAGTTGCTGATACCAAGCAGAAGGTCTTTCTGGGGCTCTGCAGCCCCAGACATGGAAGAGAAGAAAGGAATGAGATATACATGGTGGATAGGACCTACATGAACTCAGCGCCCCCTGTGCACCCTTGCAGGTTTGTGGCTGAGCTGTAGCAACCTCTTCCTGGCTGTGCCTCTTCACAGGGCTTATGCATGGCTCCCACTTCGGAAAACAGGGATGTGCAGTATCTTAATAGTACATGGAAACAAGGGGCAAGGTTGTGGGGAGTAGACAGGAAAATGTTGCATTGCATCACAGGGGATATTAGCTTTGACATTGTCAGACCCCAATACAGATGGCTGGAAACTGAGGCAGACAGGGAAATGGAGTGGGAGAGGGGCCAGGCCATGGAATGCCACTGCTTCACAGACAGTATGGTCCACCTCATGTATGCTGCTGGCATGGGCTCTTCTCCAGACACCAAAAACTCTGGCAGCTACTTCACTAATGAAGCATGAGCTTGGGAAAGGGATGGAAAAATCAGAGCTGCAGAGCCTGTCTGGGCTCTGCATCTGTTTCTGCTTGCAGTGCAGCTGGTTATGCTCCCCAGGAAGCCAAGCCTAGCCATAGGGGATGCATAGGGGATGACCCCCAGGCAAAAGCTGTGAGAAGGAGCATCACACCTTAAACCTGTGCCTCACCTTTCTGCCATCTCACTTTGCTTAGTTCAGCTTTTCAGGCAGCTGAAGCTGACCTCCAAAAAAATCATTCCAGGGCAGGCTTATCCCTTAGATGACATGTCTTCCTTGGGAGAGGGACTACTGTGCTTCCCTCAAAGACCATGGGGCTGCAGCAGGTGTGTGCCCAAATACCCCACAGCAGCCAGAGCCTTTCCCAGCACAGTGGAGGGTTCTGAGTACCTAGCAGCTCTTTGTCTTGAAGGGGAAAAGTAGTGAGGGGTTCGTATCTGATTTTTGATTTCCACCCTCTAGCCCTTGTTTCTTGGTCCTTGCAGTAGGCCTTTGCTTCACCATCAGCCTCCTGAGCTGCAGCCCCATGCCCGTACCCACTCTTGGGCTGTGAGCTAATGGCCCTTGATGCCACACTGCTGGTACTGGAAGACCCCACAGAGCAGAACTGACCAGGGGGTGGGAGGCCAAAAACAAGGCTAAACAAGCTATGGCACAACCCAGAGGTGGAGACAGGCACTAGGTTGATTCACTAAGGCTTTGTCTCCAAAATCCTCCTTCGTGGGAAGAGCAGCCCTGTGCCATCAGCAGCAGAGCCCTGTGCCACCTCAGACTGCACCTCCACGCCTCCCGGGGGCTGCCACTGCCGTGCCAAAGCCAAGCAGCCCACTAACTTACAGCCCCAGCCCCTGGGGACACATCTGGGATACCAGAACCTGGGCTGCCTCTGGGCCTGCCCAGCCAGCACCTGCTGCGCTGGGCACGAGCTGCAGGTCCTCGCTCTCCAGTGACAGTCTGCACTGCTGCTGACAGCACAGCAGTCCTGCATCACCAGCTGGTGGCCTGATGCCAGCCCACGGCCCAGGTCACTGGGTCCTGCCTGGCAGAGCCAGGGAATGACTGAAATGCAAGTGCTTACCCCTTTCACCATGGGATAGGTGCACGAGCAGCCAGGCCACTCAGACAAGCCCTTCAGCAGCTCTGTCACACGAGCCTTGTCATCGCCGTCCCAAGTGAGAGGTGGCACTAGCAGGGAGGCTGTTCTTAGCTGCCTGTGGCAGCAGGCTACTGGCACATTTATCTCAGAGCAAGCTAAACCCCTCTTTGCCAAATGTACTCCTGGATACTTAGGGAGTTCTGCCCTCAGCTGAAGTGTGATCCAGGGGTAAAGTGAGGGAAAACCCCAAAATGAAGGGTCATATGTAAGGAATGTGTAGATTGCATCTGCCTCACCTGCCCTGGCTCTGATGGACAGCCCTTCACACTGCATGGGATGACATAGTAGCTGCAAACCCTGGCTCAGAAGCGAGCGGGAGGAGCTTGCCACCCTCCAGCACCTCATTCTCATTCCTGAGCTAAAGGAATGTCATGCACCGTGCAGTCAGTAACCCGATGCTATGCCTGGCCTCCCAGGAGACCCCATTAGCACTTGTGGTGTGTTTTTGGGAAATAAAGAGCTGCATCCAGTGGCACAAGCAAAGAGCTGATGTTTGTAGCAGTGCCTTGCTCTGCCCATCCCGTGGTGCTCAGCATGCTGCGCTCGGGACCAACGGGAATCACAGGGCTGCCTACTGAAACGCAGCCATGTCCAGCCTGAAGAGAAACAGCTGTGGGGAGGAAGAGCACACCAACCCTGCAAACCAGTTTAGGCAAGCACACGAGAACTGTTTGAATTCAGCAGGGAATGTACAAACTAAAATGGACTTAAGCATGAATGTGGGCCTTATTTGCAACAACTACTTGTAAAGGTTAAAGCAGAGACTGCCTGCGAGCTGGGACTATTCCTGGTATAAAAGATAGAATAAGGTGTCTCCGTGGGCCAATTGTTCTTGATGCTAATGCAGGTTCTGGGGGTGGTGAGCTGACAAATGCCTGCAGATGGAAGTGACAGGATTAGCTGTGCTGGAGAAGGAGCTGGCCACCAAGGCATGAGCTGCGGATGTCTGCTCCATGCAGTGGTGCTCCTTTTTGCACACGGCTGAGCCCTGACATGCCTCCTGTTTAACCTTGACTCACAGGAAAGGGCACTAGTCAGAGAATCATTCCCTCCTCTGATGTGGACTTCAGGTCTGCTGGCCCCCCAGATTAGTTCAAGGGAGCTCATTCATGAGAGCTGGCACCTGTGTGGTGGAGGTGATTGAGACTGTCAACAGAGTGTGGCTGTTTGACTCTCCTGCTTCTCCTAAGGTGGTGGGTGCACCTTTTACCTCCAGATCTCCAGCTTTCATGCAGTCTCAGCACCTGCCAAGCAGCAACAAGAGCTGCCTCTCTTGCATCACCATGTTCTCTGGCACTGAACTCCCAGTCACCTCTGCAGCCCCATCTGCCAGAAAGAGCCAATGCTGTGGAAATCTTGCTCCCACTCAGAGTAAAGAACCTGTGTCCCTGCAAGCCTCCAGAAGGGAGCAGATTTTCTGCAAGTTTTGTTCAGAGAGGCAGTGAGGCTTACCCACCTACTGTCCCACTAGCTCAAGGGCAAGAGGTGTTTCTGTGAAGACTGGATTGCAGGACACCACACCAATAAAGGAGGTGACACCAGTGTCAGGTGTGGATGTACCTCCTTGTGCTTTCCTTGTGCCACAGGCTCTGATTAGGGCTTGGCTGCCTGCAGCTTATGATGGGGCTGCAAGGGAACCTCAGAGGTTTTTTGCAGCTCATCTACCCCTTACCCAGCCCCAGGATTTCCCCCCATACCTGTACACGAGCCTCAGTGAGGTCTGTCCTCATGGCTAGCTGCTCCCTGGCATAGACATCGGGATAGTGGGTCTTCTGGAAGACCTTCTCCAGCTCCTCCAGCTGGTAACTTGTGAAGGTGGTGCGGTTCCTCCGCTTCTTGCCCTTGTTGCTCTCCGAGTCAGCCTTGTCCATGGGACTGGGGAGGTCTGTGCTGGCCCTGTCCTGGGGCACCTTCACCCCGGCCTCCTTCACGCTGAGGTAGCTGCTGTCCATTGCTGAAGGGTCGGAGCTTGGCTGCAAGTCAGGCTCTCCCAAGCCGCTTTCCTTACCTGTTTCAGTGGGAGGCAGGGGAGGGAAGAGGAGGGCAGGTTTGACCAGGGATAGGGGCAGGGAGAGAGAGAAAAGGAAAGAGATGTAAATCTTTTGACATATTTTGCCTGGCACAGATGGGCAAGAGGAGGTTGGGGCCAGCTCTCTCAGCTCCAGCTCCCTCTCAGAGACCCAGGTGGGAGGATGAGCTCTGCACACTCAGGTGCGCACATCCCAGCAAGACCCTCCTTCAACCTCTCAACAGCCACATCAGGGTTGAACATCATGGAGCACTACATCCCTTGGTCCTGGCCACAGGGAAGGTCTCTGAGAGGTACCCATCTGCTCCGTGCACCATGCAGGTCCCCTGCCACCAGCCCATCTGTGCTCCCCTGCTGAATAACACAGAGTAGAAAACCAGGAGTACAGAGCAGCCCCATGTGATGCTCGGTGGGGTCTGTTTGATGCTCCTGCATCCTCAGGCAATGCTGGTGTGTCAGCAGAGGTGCTCCTGATTGACACCCCCAGTCACCCCCACAGCCTTCTGCCAGGACTTGCATTGCTTTGGGCAAAGACGTTGTTAATGGGGCTTAGTGCCACAGAAAAGGACAGTTTGAGACACCTGCTGAAACAGCACCCCGTGTGTGCAGGGCAGAGGGAAATGAGAGGAGTGTGACAGCGGTCTGGGGCACTGTTTCCACCTGGTTGCCCTCAACAATTAATAATTAACGAGACATGACATATGAGAGCAGCATGGCAGTGCAGGAGGAAGAGGTTTCAAACCCTGGACCAGTGAACTTGTTCCTTTCTAAAAACCACCTTTGAGCTTTGTAAATGGCGTATATGTGTTCTCAGGTGCAGGCACTGTTTGTGTCCTCCCCTGCACACCTCCTGCCTCCAGTGGCAGTGGTGTCCCCTTCATTAGCAAGAGTGATGCTATGCCAGCAGGACCCTGGTGGGGACCCATGGCTCTCCTTTATCTGATTCCACTGCTCTGCATGGTGGGCTGAACCCAGGACAGAAAATGAGGGATCTGTGTGGGCGACTGGCCACCTGGCATAAAATGCATAGCCAAGGGTCACACCTGACCCCATTTCTGGCTGGGATCTTTGGGCAAAAAACATGGTAGCCCTTTTGCAGGTTTTAACCTTGAGCCACTATGCTCAGTTCCTAAATGTGTGGGAAGTGATAGTGTGCTATTTTCTATCCATGCTCTCCTTACCAAGCCAAGAGCACATAATCTCATATTTTTTTGAAATTTCCCTTTAGTCTATTTCTAAAACTTACTAGGCCAGGATCAGTCTTTCTGGGAAACAGTTCCACTGTGTAGTGATGTCCCCACTGGGAGCTTTTCCCAGGCAATGTGATAGCCAGGGTCATTAATGCCAGCTTGGGCATCTTAGCCTGTGTCTTTGGCAGTACTCATCTCTTGTTACAAAATCCTTTTGCCAATTCACTGTATATGTACAGTTTAGCCCTTCTGTGAACATCTCTGTCAGATCTTCACAGCCAAAAGCCTATGAAAATTGTTGTGACAAGGGGTACAGTGTACAAGTCCTTGCCCATCTTTCACTCTTGCAGCTCAAAGGCTGCACTGAGATGATTGGGATGAAACCAGGAGGTGAAATGTAGCTATCACCCTCAGGCTTAAGAGCAGGGATGGCCCAGGTTTAAGTCTGGGGGGGATGAGCTATGAAAGGGATTTGAGAAGAAAATTGCCCAGGTGGTACAGAGGGATTGTAGGCAGACCTTGGATGAAGGCAATGGAGTTACCTGCCACTTTCACCCTACTGTGATTTCAGATTTATTGCTTTCTCTAATATTGTTACTTCAGACTTTTGAGGAGCTCCATATAAAGCTTACCAAAGCTTGATGTCTATCTCAGCTCTCTTTGCTTTGATCCTTGGGAACATTTTGCAAAAATTTATGCTCCCTGGGCTCCAGGACCTGTGTCTAGTCTGACACAGACACAGAGGAGGGACTGATACACTCTCTCTTCTTTGATCCTGCCTTCTCCAACTGGCTGACCTCTCGCACTGCTCCTGGGGGATGCAAGTGGACAGACCTGTCCAAAATGGGCTGGGACAGTGCCCTGCCCCAAAGCCTTGGTAAATCATACACTACAGACATGATATTTGTAATTTTTACAACAGAAAATAGAACAATTCCAGAAAGTCTGCAGCAATGGACTGCCACCTATGAGATTCAGTAGAGACAGAGTAATAAATAAAGTATTCCAAGAGGTTGGGGGTTTTTTCCCCTTTCTCTCTTTCTTTTATTATTTATGTTGTCAGGAAGCTCAGTACATTTTCCCCCACAACTTTACTTTGGCTGCCTCCCTAACTCCTAAACCCCCTGCAGCTCCAACAGCAGCAAACACGAGACTTGAAGACTTTCCTTGGGAAATCTTCTGCTGTTTTTTATCTGCTTCAGGAGCTCAGTTAGCTGGGGAAGGGTCTGCACAAACACACAGATACACAAACACACACACACATAGACACACAGAGGGACAGAGAAAAGCGCTGTGTCTGTTCTAAGTTTGTTGACAGCATAGCTCAAACTGCAGCTGAGAGCAGACTTTCAGCGGTGATAAGTTATCTCCATCACAAACCACCAGCCCCAAGATGCAAGGACTGTCCCTACTGCACAAGCAGTGGGTGTTCCTGTGCCTTTTCTGCCAGTCCAGAGCCTTCCTTGCAGCTCAGCCATGCTGCTCTAGTGCTCCTGCACTGCAGCAGACATGGGCTTCTTCATCTCTAGCCCCTGAGAGCCCGGGTAGGGATGAACTGTTTCCGTGGGAGGGGCAGAAACTCCGGGATGGAGGGCCTGATGGCAGTGCTGGGAGGGCATGGTGTGCATCCACCCTCAGCTGAGCATCCCAAGAAATAACTCTCATTCCCTAGAAACAGGCTCCCTGACCTCAAAACAGTCATGCTAACTGCTGAAGTGAAACAAATTGCATACATCTGCATATGGATATGCCCAGACTTCCTGTAACTGGAGATGGCCTCAAAGTTTCAGTGCAAAGTTTGGAGTGTCTGTTTCTAATCAAACCTAGAGAGACCTTGTGTTACATATTGTGAAGATCTCTATGACAAGGAGTTAATGTGAGCACCACTGCACCCTTACAAGCCTGACAGCAGAGCTTGGTGCCTCCTTCGTTGCTTGCCAATCCATCCTTGCCCTTGTAGCAGTAGAAGGAGGATATTTTCTGACTTCCCACAATTATACCATCCTTTCTCAATGCCTTGGCTCCCTGCTAGACTGTCAGCACTCCCAAGACCTTCCCTGAGTCACCCTGTGTCAGCTGCCAAGGAACAGTCCAGGATAACTGGGCATGTGGGCCCCAAGCATCTTGCAGCTCCTTTTGGGCAGGAGGGATGCCTGCATTCTCACTTCTTCTGCAGGGGATATGCCTTTCAAATCTCACCACATCTGTCCTGGGAACCCTACAGTGGAGAAACCGGGTGCAGGAGACACAAGACTATGTTCACCTATGGCCATGAGGAGAGGCCATTCTGAGACAGCAAGGCATTGTGCTGCTCTGCTCACATGCTCCTGGAGGGAGCAGTCATCTTTATCATGCTGTCAGAATGCTTGGATTCACAGCTTGTATCTGTTTTGTTCCTCAGGTGTGCTATTTTGAGAGAAAATCTTCACTATGTACAGTCTTATCCATGGAATTTAATTTAGAGCAAAGTCAGCTTGGTGCATCCACAGGGATGGAGGCTGGGACATTTCCAGCACACAGCTTTGGGTCCAACTTGAAATGGTAGGGTTGCTTTGCACAGCACATGCATGACAAGTCACAGCTCCTGCCCCATAGGCTGCTTCACACAGATCCTGTGGTGGCAGCCCCACAGCCCATAAGGCTGCAGGAGAGCTCCATGGGCAGCACAGCCCAGGGACACAGCCAGCACACGGCAGCTTCCCCTGCTAAAGAGGCTGCTGGGGCTTGGCACTGCTATGTACTGCTCTGGCAACATCTAGTCCAAGCTATTACAGTGTCAGCAAAGAGCTGATGCTATCCCAGTTCTGGGAGGCTTCAAGAATAGCCTGGAACTGCTACTGGCATGTGGCAGCTCACAGACATTGTCTGTCTGTGGGCAACCCATGTCCAAAGAGCACAGCACGGGTGGCATGGGGCTGCAGCAGCCTGCCCTTCTGCTCCCACACTAAATGACACTGGGGCCTTCTGCTTTCCTGTCCAAGTGTGGGCACAGGAGTGTGGGAACAGGTTCCCAAGTGTGGGAATAGGAGTGCTCCCCCCACCCACCCCCAGATTCCATGCCTCCGGTGCTGGCCACTTTAGGGTGCCTCTCCTTGCCTACACAGGTATGGCCCTTTGAAAAAAAAAAATTAAGGGTCTTCATAGCAATGAAGCTTAAAAAGAAAAAAAAAAAAAAGCTCTTAATGTCATTGTCTGAACTCTCACTTAAATACCAGTGCTAAAATTTTGTCTAGAGAGGGTTCAGGCAGTGTATTTTGCACTTCTTACTAAGGCAGATTTGCACCAGAGCCCAGCCAGCACATCTCAAGGACTTGGCCAACCACAGGAATCTTATCCAACTCCTGTGATCATGCCTTAACTCATGCTGAAATGATTGTACTTGTTTCTAAGCTATCTGTTGCAGTCTTCTGCCTCCTATCTGTCATTAAAGTCTAGAAGTCAGCGCAAGACTATTATTTTTTAAAAATTCACATTTTGGGTTATATAGGAAAAAACAAAGTGACTGAATTTTCGACATATAAAGACCTGAATATTTAGGTTTATTTCTGTTGAGGGAGTCAGTGCTCTTACAGTCTGCACATGTAGAAAGGATTTTAACACTTTTTCAGTTGTATGTGGCATCACTGATTTTATTCACAATGATCAGATGCTTAATCATACTTTCACTCTTGTGCCCAACTGAAGTGCCCAACTGGGCAGCATTCATCTCTTAAATGCAGGTGGTATAATTCTAGATAGGAGAAAAACCATTGGCTTCCTTCTGGAAGCTGCAGTTACCATTTTCTGCTA